AGTCATGTGATTCATAAGACTTATTGTGAGATGGTCTTCACATTTTAAAGTGCCTGGTTTCTTCGGCAATATGGATTTTAAAAGGTCATTTGGAATATACCAACTGTTATAAATATCATTTAAAAAGTTTAGTTATTATTTCAATTCCAAAATTTCTCAGTGTTTCGATTTTTTCCAGTGAGATGTTGTCTGGCCCGGGTGCTTTTCCTTTCTTCATATGATGTATTGCATCCTCAACTTCTGCAGTCATTATTGGTGGACCACCATTGTTGGTCTGCAGTTCTACGTCTGGTCTATTATCATCATATAATTCCCCTATATACTCATAGAGTTTGATAAATCAGTCATATTTGTTTTTAAAATTATTAACAACTCACGCATACCAACATATGTACGTACGGAGACATGCACAATCAAACAATGAACTCTACCTACCTTTTTCACACATGGACACAAAACGGAGAGTAATGCAGACATTTCACAAGTCTCCGTATCAACGCCAACAACCAGAAAAGATGAGTACACCCGATAACTGCAGTCGTGATACGGATAACGTCGATAACACGCCGGTTCCGCGGAGATTAAGACGACCTGGGTAAAATGTAGTCTGCGTTTTTCTGTCCGCCACTGCACGTGTAGGTTTGTATAAATTGCAGTCTATCTAGGTCACATGCCAAGGAATTTTTACTGGGTTGTTTACACAGCAAATTGCTATGTTGAATTCTTACTCACTTCCTACGTGAATGTTGCACTGCTCGGTTCTGCATTGCATTTTGCTGCGCAAAAAGGGTGTAAATCAGTAATGCATTTCGTCACACTGTAATACTCGTAATGGGGACATCAAAGTTCGAGTCTTCGGTATTCATACAATCCTAATCTACACAGTCCATGGCGACTGCACTAGTCATGCGGCTTTAAATGCTCAGGTAGACCCCCCCCCCCCCCACCCCCTTGCCTACACCGCAAACGTGGTTAATACACTCAGTAACTGGCAGTGCCCACACCCCAGTAATGTACAGGGGAGATCACAAATGAAGAACTGAAGAGCGAAACAAAATGTTTATCACTGGCAAACGTTATCAAAGGAAGAAGATGGTGATGGCCTTGACATGTTTGCGGAATGTCTCTTGACACTTTGGCAAGGGTAACTCTCCGATGGAGGGCAGATGGGAAAGGCAACAGGGACGATCTACGGTGGCAGAAAGTAGCAGATCGGCAGCAACAGATGTCAGGTGCTAACAATGCCGCATGTGTCACCCGAGGCACGAGGGTGATCTAGATGTAGAGAGATTATAGAAGCGGACGACCAGGCTGAATTATGTGGAAAATAAAAGACAGAACTGACTGACTGACTCTTTATTCCACCCCCCCCCCTCCACTGCCATCTTAAGATATCAGTCTTCTTCTACTCCTTGGCTCCCAGGTCGATCCAGCCTTGAGTGGGTGCCGGGTGCAATCCCGGAAAGTAAAGTCGGCCGGCTTGATGCTGACTACATCACCCATCTTGTGCCGATTGGTCTATACAAATATAGGTCTAGCACTATATGCCTTATACGCCTAATGGCGTGGAAAAGGGTTCTTTACTTACTTTTTCTACATCATCATCATCATCATCATCTTCTTCTTCTTCTTTTTTATTTTTTTTTAATTTTCCTTCTTCTTCTTCTTCTGTCTGACTGAGAACTGACTGCCCGCATAAGAAAGAGACAATTTACATTATCTGACACGAGATGAGAAGGAGAAAACTGGAGTACATCGTGACAATAGTAAAGTTGAAGGGGAAGAGAGGCAGAGAAAGACTGAGAGAAAAAATGCTGAACAGTTTGACATCATGGCATGGTGGATCATCTGTATCAGATTTGATTAAAATTTCAAGAGACAGAAGGTTGTGGACAGACATGACTATCAACCAACGCCACATGGCATGGAGAAGGTTGTGGACAGACATGACTATCAACCAACGCCACACGGCATGGAGAAGGTTGTGGACAGACATGACTATCAACCAACGCCACACAGCATGGAGAAGGTTGTGGACAGACATGACTATCAACCAACAGAACCACGGCATGGAGAAGGTTGTGGACAGACATGACTATCAACCAACAGAACCACGGCATGGAGAAGGTTGTGGACAGACATGACTATCAACCAACAGAACCACGGCATGGAGAAGGTTGTTGAAAGACATGACTATCAACCAACGCCACACGGCATGGAGAAGGTTGTGGACAGACATGACTATCAACCAATGCCACACGGCATGGACTTTAAGAAAAAGAAAATCAAGGGGTAATAAATAAGCAATGTGAAACTTTATGTGGAATAGATTCCCGGTGAGTAAAAGTATCGGAGGTCTCATGCTTTTGCCAATTGTCTGAACGCGGTTTCTGGGACCTCTCCACGGCGATCCTAATCCACATGGTGGCACTTTGTGTCATCGGGTGTTTATCGCCTGTGTGATGTCCTAGTGGGGTAGAAAGTCAGTCAGTCGGCAGTCCCTGATTCATAACTGCCAACAGGTATAAACCCGTTTTGAAAACAGTGAAAACCCTAATAGCACATCTATGCTGCTCTATAAAAAAATATTTATAATGCAAGGCTCAGCAAAAGGGAAGAGGAGAAGAGGCAGACCAAAAAAGATAGGAATACAGAATTTACTGAATAAAGCAAAGTAAGGACAGGTACTTTTTCCACGCCCTTAGGCGTATTGGGCATACAGGGCTAGACCAATATTTTTATAGACCAATCGGCACTTTGTGGGTGATGTGGTCAGCATCACGCTGGCCACCTTTACTTCCCAGGACTGCACCTGGTACCCACTCAAGGCTGGGTCGACCTGGAAGTCAAGGTCATTTTGTCAAAAGTCTGTCTACTCAGGATGCGAACCCACAACTTTCCAATCTGCAGGCGGGATTTGACTGAACAGGCAGACCACCACAAACGTGCAAACATGAAGTCTATGGCATATCATCATCAGAAGTGGAGGGAGCTGATCAAACAGTCACCAGCACCTTTTGGCTCAATGACACACAGTGTTTTAGAACTATGATGGTATCACAGTCGTTAGTTGAGGCTCAAGCATCACTGCAGACAGGTCACCCTGAATTCCTGTACCAGTGGAAATCACACAGAATGTCCTTCATTGTCCCATTTGAAAAACTTGTCAGTCTCAGCTAAACTGTAAAACTTGCACAAGCAAATATACATGCCTAAAGCAACTGTTAGATATCTGAACACTAATGGTCCCATACCAGAATTGTAACTCACTACTGACACAGACAGTCAGTCATGACTGACTGAGCTCGAGGCTCAGAGGAAAGGCAAGACAAATGTTTAATCAGAATGCTAATAGCACCATTAGTTTCAGAACTCTTCACTGGCTGCTGGGGATGTGGATGGAGCGCTTTTGGGAATGCCTCCAAGTGCTGTGATGTCGGTTCTTGAATCAACTCAACTCAACTCAACAGTCATGAAAGCTACTGTTGCACCTACAAAGGTATGTACCATTGTAAATACAACTGACTACCCGCTATTTGAGTGCAGTCAACAACATGCCATGGGCACAAAGGGACAAACATTCCACATAAAATTCACATCTCACAGTGTCAAACCAAGCACCCAACTCATTAGCTGGGTGATTGAACCCTTAGAGACTCCCATTCCATAAATTGGGAATCTGCTTCAGCAAAACATAACATAAACCGGCTATTGCTCATTTTAGCCAAAAGTCCCGATGATAATGACTAGATCCCTGTCAAAACACTTTTATTGTGGCTTAAACTCAGTGGCAAAGTGTTAAGACATTTACATCCTGCTCTGAAAGTCATTGGTTTAGGAATCTGTGCTTTGGTTTAAATGCTAAAGTGTTTTGTTATCTATGGATGCTGTCACTGGAGCCAAGGTCTTTTCTGCTTTATTCCAGTCTCAATAGGCATTAGGCATCCATGCAGAGAGAGACTGAGCTGTATGAGATGGAGCCAGATACAGGACACTAAGTCCACACATCTTTAGACATCCCGGTTTAGTGATGAGCGAGTGCAGCCTGGCGAAACCAATTTATACAATCATCGAGGTCAAGATGGAAGATATTTACAACTTCTCAAAGGAATAACAATTAGAGGTATGTTGGGGAGGCTGCAACATCAGAGGACCAAGCATGCATGGGAATGTCCAATGTGTGCAACGAAGCTGACTGTCGTAACATAGCGTTTAAATTGCTTTAGCATTCTGTCATTAATCTCACACATGCTGTCTAACATATTCTAGGACAAAACTAATGCCAAACACTATATCTTTTTCTCTATTCACCCTTAAAAAGGTGCCTGGCATGTTGTGTTGTAGTTTACAGACGGGCCACAATATTTGTTTCTCTCAGCCAAACACATCTAATTTCATCATGTCTTAACCAGTCATCTTTGTGACATACTTGCTGAGGGGCAGTGGGTCTATTCTTTTGACCCCCCCCCCCCCCCCCCCCCCCAAAAAAAATAGCCCATGTAGAATTGAGTTGAATTTCAAGGAAAAACACCATAGCATGTGAGCCATTCCCATAAATGCTCCATATCCATCTTCAGCAGCAAGGAAAAGAGTTTCAACTCTTATGGTACCAGTAGAAATCCAATTGTATGAACGTCTTGTCTTTTCTCTCATTGTGTAGTGTCAACTGGATCTCCTGGTCACTCCCATTGCACCAGTCTCTTCAGATGGAGATAATCTCATTGTGCCTCTGCCCTGTTCACTCACTTCAGATGGAGATAATCTCATTGTGCCTCTGCCCGGTTCACTCACTTCAGAAGAGCCCTGACAATATTTAGCTTGTCATGCATCAGTTTGAAACCATTCCTGTTCATTCCCGACACACCTGCATGACCTTGAGAAAGGAAACTGACTACCAGGAACCTCTGAAGCATTGCTTGACAAAACATGGGAAAATAGAAAAATTATATTAAGTACATTAAAAACTGTTCAACAGATGCTCCTACCTCTTCTAATTTCACTCCATACAGACTGTAGTCCAAACATTTGACAATATCGTAGAATATTTCATCTTCATCACGGTCACCATCAATCTGAAAGAAAACAAATAATCAAGATAAATTATATCTCTGCCTCATTAAAACTGTGTTCCTCAACGGAGCACAGGCCCTCAATTTACTCAATGCCATCCTCTCTTCTGCCACCTCCTGCATGTTCACCTATCATGAAATCTTTTGTGTATATTTTTAGGCGGCGTCCGTGGTTTAGGCGTTGCAAGTCCAACTTGTAATTCCAATGTACCATGATTGAAACCCACTTCTGGCTGTGTGTATTTTTTTCATGGTACGGGGCGTTGCCGGTTGACCCAGCCTAAAATGGGTACCAGGATGGCTGTCCTGGAGAAGTAGAGATGGCTGGCAAAATGCTGACCACATTACCCACCTTGTGCCGATGGTCTGAAAAAATATGGCCCTCTTTCCATATGCCCGATGTGTCTAAGGTGTGAAAAGGGATCTTTACTTTTTACTTTTACATATATTTTTAGGTACCTTTCTATTTCTCAGAGTTTGCCCATTCCAGTGAAAGGATATTCTAATTATACTATTATTAGATTTCATTACCCGGCTTCACTCGACGTAGTTGATGAAAATTAGATTTTTTTTCCCTATCTTCTACTTCTTGGGGGGGGGGGGGGGGGGGGGGGGGGGGGGGGGGGGGGGGGGGCTGCCGTGGTCTAGCAGCTAGGATGCTCACCTGCAGATCTGAAGGTTGTGCGTTCAAATTGGCATTCAACTGGATTTGTTTCTAACATGCATCTGTGGCTTCTACCCCACCCAAATAAATAAATCTACTGAACTGAGATTGGTGATTGGGTAAGATGATGAACCAAGATGTTCTGACTCATCAACATGGCACGTGATAATGATGATAGGTGTGTCTTCTTCTTCTTTTTTTGCTTCTTTTTCTTCTTCTTTTTCTGCTTGCTCTTTCCAATGTGTTAAATAAGTTAACCTGAATTTCTTTAAGACTGTTTATGTTTATTCAACGTATCAACATCATGGCACACGGGTGTAACCCATAAGTCCTCTGTTCTCCTTGCAACTTAAGCCTGAGTCTCAAGAAGCTCAGCACAGTGCATGAACTCTGTTGCACCGGCGAGGATCTTGAAATACTTTTGGTAGATTTTTAACTCATATTTTGAGCAGGCTACTCTTTTACGATTTCCAACTGTCAAGGTATTTTTCTACATGCGCAACAACACATGGGCGTCCGGTCTTACTACCCAGAGACCTAGGGAAATTACTAGAAGTCCACATGAAAAAATCCCAGCCTTCACCGTGGTTTGAAGCAGGGACCTCCAGCACTCGAGGTGAATGCCATACCCTGAGACCACTCAGCTATTGATACCTTTGTTCAATCTTTTGCCTGGTTTTGCTTTGTGTTGATTATATTTGAGGCTCTCTGTGGCAGACGGCATCAGGGTAATTTCATCAGATGGCCAAACATTCTCATGTGCTGCTCTTTTATGTAACTGTATGACTGGTCTTAGTCTTAGTCTTCTTCTGATTTCTTCATTGATAATTGTAACACTTATTTGTAACACTTCTTGTCACTCCAGCAGCCCGTCTAAGATATCTCATCCCTGGTGTCATGACTTTATACTAATTAGTTGTAGTAAGGGTCCATGTTTGATACTGTTAGCATAAAGTTGGCCAATATATAGTTTCTATTAGTTTTGGCATGTTTCCATTTTTTTTTCAATCAATCAGTGTGTCTCCTCCTGGCTGCTATCTAAAGTTTGACTACACCAGGCAGTCTAACAAGGCAGATCCCAAATTTCCTATTCAACCTCTGAGGAAGTTATAATTAGGACACCCAAATAGCAGCTACGCCAGCCAGGTTTAACCTGCAGCACAGGTAAGGACCATAATGAGTAAGGACCATAATGGGTAAGGACCATAAGGGGTAAGAACCATAGTTTAAAATCTAAAGGTTGGTTATTTGCAAATAAAAACCTTACCACAATCAACTTGTTCTCATCCTCAATGACCAACAATTATGTAATGAGACTAATTTCATAAAAATTTTAATAATCAACAGTTAAAGATATAACCTGTATTTTATTCAAAGTAAGCCCCTTGTGCATTGATACAGTGAGTAGCACGATCCAACAAACACTGAAACGACCTCTGTAGTTCTTCTGTTGCTATGGCCCTTAAAGTCGATGTTATGGCCCTTTGGATGTCATCAACATCGTCAAAGAAGCGTTTTTTTAATGGTTACTTTAATTTTGGGAAAAGAAAATAGCCGCAGGCAGACAGATCTGGGGAATAAACTGGATGATTGAGAACACACACTTGTTTTGGGGCCAAGAATTCCTGGTTTGATTATGTCTCATTGATACTCAACCGGCTGATGTTTTTGGTCATCAGACATAAGGGGTAAGAACCATAGGGGGTAAGGACCATAAGGGGTAAGAACCATAGTTTAAAATCTAAAGGTCGGTTATTTGCAAATAAAAACCTCACCACAATCAACTTGTTCTCATCCTCAATGACCTTTAGTAAAGGCAAAGTGTTTCTGGCAAAGAATGTCAGTTTTTTCTCAATAGCATTCACGTTGTCATCAATTCTGTCATTTCCGCTGCCACCACGCAGAACCAGCCTGTCATGTAGGTACTGACTCTCACAGTCTAGCAGAATTGTGAAAGCATGGCCACCAATCTAGTTGAAGACAGTCAACATATGGTCTCAATTTATGTGGCTCAATATTCATTACTATAAAAATCCTAAGATGAATTTGTGAATAATAATAAAAATAATAATAATAATAAATAATATTTTAGAAAATAACTGACTGTCTTTTTTAAAAAAACATTTTAATCTTATTCTGCTACTGTTTCTCCTCCTAATTACTGCACCACTGCTGCTACTAATGTTGCTGCTATAATTACCGCTGGTACCGCTGCTGTTACTGCGACTTCAACTGCTACTATTACTGCCGCTAATACTGCTGCTGTTACTGCGACTACAACTGCTACTATTACTGCCGCTACTACTGCTACTAATACTACTGCTACTACTGCTGCTACTACTACTGCTACTAATACTGCTACTGCTGCTACTACTGCTACTACTGATGCTACTAGTACTGCTACTGCTGTTACTACTACTGCTACTACTGCTGCTACTAATACTGTTGCTACTACTGCTACTACTGATACTACTAATACTGCTACTAATACTGCTGCTACTACTGCTACTACTGCTGCTGCTACTACTACTGCTAATACTACTGCTACTACTGCTACTGCTACTGCTACTACTGCTACTACTACTGCTACTGCTGCTACTACTACTGCTACTACTGCTGCTACTACTGCTGCTACTAATACTGTTGCTACTATTACTGTTGCTACTACTGCTACTACTAATTCTGCTACTAATACTGTTGCTACTACTGCTGCTACTACTGCTGCAACTACCGCTGCTACTACTACCCCTGCTACTACTGCTACTAATACTGTTGCTACTACTGCTACTACTACTACCCAGGCTACTGACTGTCTTTTTAAAAATCCATTTTAATCTTATTCTTCTACTCTTTCTCCTCCTAATTACTGCACCACTGCTGCCACTACTACTGCTACTAATACTGCCGCTATAATTGCCACTAGTACTGCTGCTAATACTGCTGCTGTTACTGCGGCTACAACTGCTACTATTACTGCCACTACTACTGCTGCTACTACTTCTGCTACTACCACTGCTGCCACTACTGCTACTGCTATTACTACTGCTACTGTTGCTACTGCTATTACTACTGCTACTGCTACTACTGCTGCCACTACTACTGCTACTACTGCTATTACTACTGCTACTGCTACTACTGCTGCTACTACTACTGCTACTACTACTGCTGCTACTACTACTGCTACTACTACTACTGCTATTACTACTGCTACTACTACTACTGCTATTGCTGCTACTGCTATTACTACTGCTACTACTACTACTGCTGCTACTACTACTACTGATACTACTACTGCTGCTACTGCTATTACTGCTGCTACTACTGTTGCTACTACTACTGCTACTACTACTGCTACTACTACCCCTGCTACTACTGATGCTGCTACTACTACTACTACTACATTACTACTGCTGCTACTACTACCACTGCTACTACTGATGCTGCTACTACTACTACTACTGCTACTACTGCTGCTACTACTACCCCTGCTACTACTACTGCTACTAACACTGTTGCTACTACTGCTGCTACTACTAACCCTGCTACTACTGCTGCTACTAATACTGATGCTACTACTGCTGCTATTACTACCACTGCTACTACTACTATTGCTACTACTACTATTGCTACTACTACTACTACTGCTACTACTACTAATACCGCTGCTACTACCAATGCTACAACGGATGGTACCATCACTGCTACAACTTCTAACACTGTATTATGACAGTAATTAGTGTTGATTTAAACAACTAGGGCAATTTACATGTCAGAGTCTCTCGCCTGGGTGTTGTGTATGGCCATTATAATTACACTGTGCCAGTTTAAATCCTAGCTGCAGGCAATTTGGCAGCAGACTGCCTTATGTTGTTCACCCCTGGCATTGAGAGCCAGCTGGTCAGTAAGCAATGACAAACCACTAAATGTAAAATTGCTTAGTGAACTCACAAACAGCCAAAAAAAAAAAAAAAAAACTGTTGTGGTAGGTTCTGCAATGTCCAATAAAAGACAAGCAACTAACTTTTCTTTAACATCCAGCATATCCTTTACTTTGAGCCAACTAGTTAAAATAAAATATGAGGTGCTAACATTTCTGTTGAACTCTTCATACTGCAAAGCATCTCTGGGATATCCTTCAACCAAGTAAGCCTGGGCATCTGGATGTTCTTGCATAGTTTTGATGAGCAACTCTTCTGTGACATCCTGAAGAAGAAAAAAAGAAACAATTTTAGTATAGTATGTGATGATATATAACAAGCAGCGGTCAGAGTAGCTGGTGAAACATCAGAAGGGTTTGAAGTGCAGAAAGGAGTGAGACAGGGCTGCATTCTTTCTCCCTCCCTCTTTAACAAATATGCTGAAAATGTTATGAGAAACGCAATTAGCGATGAGGCATGTGAGAGCTTTGATCTACTAAAAATTGGAGGTAATCCTATCCCAGAACTCAGATATGCAGACGACACAGTTCTCCTTTCCAACAGTGTACAAGTCTTAGAAAAATTAATTCTGGCCATCAAAAAACATAGCAAAGAAGTGAATACTTTTTTAAATTAAAAAAAAAAAATTATGTCCTCAGTAAATACAGCTCACCAATCACGTATCACGATCAAAAATGAAGAAATAGAAAATGTAATAATTTTCGAATGCTTGGGCTCTTTAGTGCACAACTGTGGAGACTGCTCGAAAGAAGTCAGAAAAAGACTTGCATTAGCAATGCAGAGATTAAATAGCATGAAGAACCTATGGCAAAGAACTAGTAAATTGGCTAAAGTAAAAATCTTGAGATCATACATTTTTCCTGTGGCAACTTACGGTTGTGAGTCTTGGACTCTCACTCAGTCACTGAGAAAAAAGATTGGAGCTTTTGAATTGAAATGTTATAGAAAAATTCTTAGAATACCATGGATCAGGAAGAGGAAAAATATCGTCATTCTGAATGAGTTGAACATCAAGGAGAACTAGCTCATAAACAGCATCCTGTCCCGAAAGTTGAAGTATTTTGGCCACATCAAACGTCATGGTGGCTTCAAAAAAACGGTGATGGAGGATGCAGTTTGTGGAAGGTGAGACCGGGGTCAACCACTGTGAAGATGGATGCAAGACATTGAAGATGCATTGGTACTTAAAGCACATGGGGCCAGAGAGCTGGCTAGAGAAAGGGATACTTTCAGGCGTGCTTTGAAGAGTGCAATGTTCTGTAAAGGACTTGCTGGTTAGTGATGATGCATTGACAAATTAACTAAATCACAGGGATGCTTTAAGCTTCACTGGGAAGGTCACGCATAGTGAGCATACTTTGTATCTTCCTCAAGTAATGGAATCAGTAGAGAAAGAAGATTATTATGGCCTGGAGAGAATTAAGAACCTGGGTGAACCAGAGGGTCTGGCCAGCTCACTACACACAGGAAAAAAAACAAGACAGACATGTAACCAGATTGTGACAGGTACCATCAGTATTGGAACTCTGTGCTGGCTGCTGAAGATGAGGCCGTTGCATGCATGGGAATTCCCTGAGTGCTGGGATGTCAATTCTTGACTCAACTCAATTCAGCTCAAATTACCTAAATCATCCAATGCCATTGAACCCAAAAAACAACAACTTTAGAAATCACAAATAATCAAAAAGTGATCTGACAAGTAAAAGTTAAACATCTTGATCACATTGTAGATTTATAAAAACCTTACAGAAAAAATACAAGACAACAAAAAACAGTGACAGAAATAAGTGATAGTTCAACAGAAGCAACAAGTTAAATATTTTAGAGCAGTCTCAACATTCTGATGACAGGAGTGTGATAAAGATTAGGAACAGGGTAGGCCCTGAAAAATATGAATTTCAGAAAAGGAAATGAAAAGTCTTTCATGCTCTAGGTCACTTTCATTGAATATGTTCTAGTTATTTAGTTAACAGATCATCCTCACTGGATATCAGGACCAGTCAGCCCACCAGTGCTCAGATCCACTCCTGAGTAAATCCTCCAGCTTGTATCGGCTGCTGACGCCAGTTCTGTAATGGTTTATTATTTTCTTCATTCTCCTGCATAGTGCTCTTGTCTTACCTCACACTTTCAACTTTCTGCTCTTTTCACAGTCATCACATGTTTTCCACAGACCCTCTTACTTTCCTTGAGAGTTCTGTGTATAAGGAGTCAGTGTGGTGTAGTGGCTAGATGCTCACCTGCGCATCAGAAGGTCATGGGTTCGAGTCCTGGCGGAACTAGGATTTCTTTAAAAAATGACCTTTGCTCACAGGTCAACCCAGCCTTGAGTGGGTATGAGGTGCAGTCAAAGTGGCTGGCATGATGTTGACTGAGTATTGAGCATCAGTCAGATTCCCTGGTCACTCTTCGCAGCGCCATTGGTAATGATATAGTGTTGAGCATCAGCCAGATTCCCTGGTCACTCCTCGCAGTGCCATTCTTCCTAGACTGTAATGATATAGTGTTAAGCATCAGTCAGATTCCCTGGTCACTCCTCGCAGTGCCATTCTCCCCAGACTGTAATGATATAGTGTTGAGCATCAGTCAGATTCCCTGGTCACTCCTCGCAGCGCCATTCTTCCTAGACTGTAATGATATAGTGTTAAGCATCAGTCAGATTCCCTGGTCACTCCTCGCAGTGCCATCCGTAATGATATAGTGTTGAGCATCAGCCAGATTCTTTGGTCACTCCTCGCAGTGCCATTCTCCCCAGACTGTAATGATCTATCTGTGTCTCTGCACTGTTCACTCGCTCCCAAAGGGCCCTCACAACATCTAGCTTGTCATACATCAATTCACCACAAAGTGGTGAAGAACTGGCCAGCCATCTATCTTTTCATTTCCCAACACACTGGTATGACCTGGAGAAAATATCCAAATGATGCTAACTACCTGGGGCCTCTGAAGTGATGCTGGTCCAGCAATGACAATGTAGACATTTAATCTACTTCTAGAAGGTCCAACAATTATGTAATGAGACTAATTCCATAAAAATTTTAATAATCAACAGTTAAAGATATAACCTGTATTTTATTAAAAGTAAGCCCCTTGTGCATTGATACAGTGAGTAGCACGATCCAACAAACACTGGAACGACCTCTGTAGTTCTTCTGTTGCTATGGCCCTTAAAGTCGATGTTATGGCCCTTTGGATGTCATCAACATCGTCAAAGAAGCGTTTTTTTAATGGTTACTTTAATTTTGGGAAAAGAAAATAGCCGCAGGCAGACAGATCTGGGGAATAATGTGGATGATTGAGAACACACACTTGTTTTGGGGCCAAGAATTCCTGGTTTGATTATGTCTCATTGATACTCAACCGGCTGATGTTTTTGGTCATCAGACAACGAATGCGGTACAAACCTGCAACTTTTCTCTTGCCAAAATCTTGCACTAACATTTTAAGAAAGGTGTCTCTATAAACACCAGATTTATCTGCCATCATCCTCACAGTAAAACAATGATCTTTTTGTATCCGTTCTATGACTTTTGCAATGAGTTCATCACATCATAACAAACAGAAATTGGGCGGCATTGTCTAGTTGCATTAGTAATCAATTCTACAACACTTTTGAATCGTGAATACCTCCTGAAAATCTGTGCATCAGATAAGCAATTATCCCCATAAATTTGCCCTATCAATTCAACTGTCTCAGTTGCTCTTTTTCTGAGTTTTGAACAAAATTTATTGTTAACTTTTTTGTTCCGTGCTGATTTCGTAACAATGCACATCTAACTAGTCAAGAAAATGGCAGCTTGCTTGTCGTCTGCTTATCAGGCAGTGATGCACTGTTGCCAGATCATAGGTGAAGGTTGCCTCCTTGGATTCCATGCTTTGCTTCATAGATGACACTTTTGTCTTGGCCGTAATAAATTAGTTGGAGTTCTGTCCCCTGGCTGCAGTGCAAATACTGACTGGAAAAGGCACGAATCAAAACACAAAGTGAGGTCGACATGCCTTGCAGACCCCGCACTGCGACTCAAATTAGCGACCGCGTTAAATCACTGCTTCTTGCAACGCATTACGGAGTGGATTAGAGGGAACAAAACAAGTGACATAATTACTGTGTGTTGGCGATAGACAGCGTGCACTGCCCTGCTATGATCATACGATTAGGGTTTGGGTTAGGGTTTGGGTTAGGGTTAGGGTTATGGGTAGAGTGTGGGTTAGGTTTAGGGTTAGGTTAGGGTTAGGTTCAGGGTTAGGGTTTGGGTTGCTACTCTGAGTTTGTGCGAAGATGAAATGCGGCGGCACTAACCATAACCCTAACCCTAACCCTAAACCTAATCCACACCCTACCCCTAACCCTACCCCTAACTCTAAACCTAACCCAAACCCTACCCCTAACCCTAACCCAAACCGTAACCCAAACCGTATGATCATAGCAGGGCAGTGCACGCTGTCTATTGCCAACACACAGTAATTATGTCATTTGTTTCATTTCCTCCTGTCCAGTCCGTAATTGCACTGTAGCCAAGAGACAGAACTCCGACTAACCGGCCGTCTACTGTTGTCTACCCGCCGTAGTTGACAGAAGAGCCCGGTTTTTCTTTGGGTCTATTCTGTTCTCCTCAAAATGAGGCCCCGACACTCACATGAGGATGATAGAAATAAGTACATCATTTCACCTACCACTGGTGCCATGTCTCCTTGTTTCAACAATTTCATTATCATGATCCACTTCTCTTCTGCTGTGCCTCTTTCTGAGATCTCCCTGCGGAGAATGTCTCCTGTTGAAATATGAACAATGTCTGGATATCTGGCGGTAATCTTTGCACATTGAGTACCTTTACCACTGCCAGGTCCACCTGTAGTACAAGACAGGGATGATTCATTTCACTTTAACAAGTAGACAAGAACTTATGCTTTAGTTAACTATTTAATACATTCTAATGACAAGGAACAAAACTTTAATGCATTTGAAAACAGAATGCTAAGGAGAATGATGCACAGTGGCAACTGTGAACCTCTTTTGACTACTGTGGAAAGAGGGAAAATGCAATGGTACGGACATGTAATAATATCTAACGATCACTCAAAAACAATACTACCCAGCTCAGTGAAGGGGAAGAGGCAGACCGAGGAAGACCTGGATACAGAACTTGACTGACAGCACAGGGCTTAGCAATGCAGCCATGAAGTCCTTCGCATCTGACTGCCATAAGTGGAGGGAGCTGACTAGACAGTTAACAGAAACTGGTGACCCAGTGCCATGCAGTGTTACTGGATGATGATGATAATGATGATGATGATAAGGGAAAATTATGAACATTAAATAAGAAAAAAAAAAGAGAGAAATGTTTGGACAACTGCTGGTATCCACAGTTATGTGACAGAGAAGGTGGTGATATATTCTGCAGAGGAGAAGAAAACAGAGAAGGTGGTGATATATTCTGTACATCTAGAGGAGAAGAAAACAGAGAAGGTGGTGATATATTCTGTACATCTAGAGGAGAAGAAAACAGAGAAGGTGGTGATATATTCTGTACATCTAGAGGAGAAGAAAACAGAGAAGGTGGTGATATATTCTGCAGAGGAGAAGAAAACAGAGAAGGTGGTGATATATTCTGTACATCTAGAGGAGAAGAAAACAGAGAAGGTGGTGATATATTCTGTACATCTAGAGGAGAAGAAAACAGAGAAGGTGGTGATATATTCTGTACATCTAGAGGAGAAGAAAACAGAGAAGGTGGTGATATATTCTGTACATCTAGAGGAGAAGAAAACAGAGAAGGTGGTGATATATTCTGTACATCTAGAGGAGAAGAAAACAGAGAAGGTGGTGATATATTCTGTAGAGGAGAAGAAAACAGAGAAGGTGGTGATATATTCTGTACATCTAGAGGAGAAGAAAACAGAGAAGGTGGTGATATATTCTGTACATCAAGAGGAGAAGAAAACAGAGAAGGTGGTGATACATTCTGTACATCTAGAGGAGAAGAAAACAGAGAAGGTGGTGATATATTCTGTAGAGGAGAAGAAAACAGAGAAGGTGGTGATATATTCTGTACATCTAGAGGAGAAGAAAACAGAGAAGGTGGTGATATATTCTGTACATCTAGAGGAGAAGAAAACAGAGAAGGTGGTGATATATTCTGTAGAGGAGAAGAAAACAGAGAAGGTGGTGATATATTCTGTACATCTAGAGGAGAAGAAAACAGAGAAGGTGGTGATATATTCTGTACATCTAGAGGAGAAGAAAACAGAGAAGGTGGTGATACATTCTGTACATCTAGAGGAGAACAAAACAGAGAAGGTGGTGATATATTCTGTACATCTAGAGGAGGAGAAAACAGAGAAGGTGGTGATATATTCTGTACATCTAGAGGAGAAGAAAACAGAGAAGGTGGTGATATATTCTGTACATCTAGAGGAGAAGAAAACAGAGAAGGTGGTGATATATTCTGTACATCTAGAGGAGAAGAAAACAGAGAAGGTGGTGATATATTCTGTACATCTAGAGGAGAAGAAAACAGAGAAAGTGGTGATATATTCTGTACATCTAGAGGAGAAGAAAACAGAGAAGGTGGTGATATATTCTGTACATCTAGAGGAGAAGAAAACAGAGAAAGTGGTGATATATTCTGTACATCTAGAGGAGAAGAAAACAGAGAAGGTGGTGATATATTCTGTACATCTAGAGGAGAAGAAAACAGAGAAGGTGGTGATATATTCTGTACATCTAGAGGAGAAGAAAACAGAGAAAGTGGTGATATATTCTGTACATCTAGAGGAGGAGAAAACAGAGAAGGTGGTGATATATTCTGTACATCTAGAAGAGAAGAAAACAGAGAAGGTGGTGATATATTCTGTACATCTAGAGGAGAAGAAAACAGAGAAGGTGGTGATATATTCTGTACATCTAGAGGAGGAGAAAACAGAGAAGGTGGTGATGTATTCTGTACATCTAGAGGAGAAGAAAACAGAGAAGGTGGTGTTATATTCTGTACATCTAGAGGAGGAGAAAACAGAGAAGGTGGTGATATATTATGTACATCTAGAGGAGGAGAAAACAGAGAAGGTGGTGATATATTCTGCAGAGGAGGAGAAAACAGAGAAGGTGGTGTTATATTCTGTACATCTAGAGGAGGAGAAAACAGAGAAGGTGGTGATATATTCTGCAGAGGAGGAGAAAACAGAGAAGGTGGTGATATATTCTGTACATCTAGAGGAGAAGAAAACAGAGAAAGTGGTGATATATTCTGTACATCTAGAGGAGAAGAAAACAGAGAAGGTGGTGATATATTCTGTACATCTAGAGGAGAAGAAAACAGAGAAAGTGGTGATATATTCTGTACATCTAGAGGAGAAGAAAACAGAGAAGGTGGTGATATATTCTGTACATCTAGAGGAGGAGAAAACAGAGAAGGTGGTGATATATTCTGTACATCTAGAAGAGAAGAAAACAGAGAAGGTGGTGATATTTCTGTACATCTAGAGGAGAAGAAAACAGAGAAGGTGGTGATATATTCTGTACATCTAGAGGAGAAGAAAACAGAGAAAGTGGTGATATATTCTGTACATCTAGAGGAGAAGAAAACAGAGAAGGTGGTGATATATTCTGTACATCTAGAGGAGAAGAAAACAGAGAAGGTGGTGATATATTCTGTACATCTAGAGGAGAAGAAAACAGAGAAGGTGGTGATATATTCTGTACATCTAGAGGAGAAGAAAACAGAGAAGGTGGTGATATATTCTGTACATCTAGAGGAGAAGAAAACACAGAAGGTGGTGATATATTCTGTAGAGGAGAAGAAAACAGAGAATCGCTAAACAGGTGCTGAAATGGGAAACAAAGAGAGTGAGGAGATGAAGCCAAAAACAACAACAAACTCAGAAAAACAAATGCTGGTGAGAGAGGCTGAAGATGCTTGAGTGGATTGCCTCCATGAAGCTGAAACAAATGTACAAAATAGAATGCAATCATGGAATAGACTGAGCCTTTATGATGTTTAGCAGCATAACAAGAAGATGATGATAGTGATGATGATTTACTTTTTTAATTTAAAGGCATCAAATCTCCTGTTTTAAAGAACAATATTATAAATATTATCAAAATACAGATTATACAGTATTAACACATTATACAGTATTAACACATTATACAGTATTAACACATTATACAGTATTAACACATTATACAGTATTAACACATTATACAGTATTAACACATTATACAGTATTAACACATTATACAGTATTAACACATTATACAGTATTAACACATTATACAGTATTAACGCATTATACAGTACTATCACATTATACAGTATTAACACATTATACAGTATTAACGCATTATACAGTATTAACGCATTATACAGTATTAACACATTATACAGTATTAACACATTATACAGTATTAACACATTATACAGTATTAACACATTATACAGTATTACCACATTATACAGTATTAACACATTATACAGTATTAACGCATTATACAGTATTAACGCATTATACAGTATTAACACATTATACAGTATTAACGCATTATACAGTATTAACACATTATACAGTATTAACACATTATACAGTATTAACACATTATACAGTATTAACACATTATACAGTACCAGTCCTAATGACAACCTAGAAGGTGGGAACAGAATAATGTTTCAAATAATAATGAAACAGATTACATAAATGTCTGAAACAAATGATCACACAATATATAGAAGAGCTAACATATTGATTGCAAACACAAACCGACACTGTGTACTGAAGGTTGAACAGGATATTACTTATGTCAAAATGACTACGATAGTATGTTCCATAAATCCCTCCACAGTCAAAGTTTTTAAATAACTGTGTAAGACGCCATGAGAGCACCATGAGAGTTGTGTAGCTGAAAATATTCAGTTTCTATGGATGGAATGGATGTATGAAACACCTTATACTTGGTACTCAGTAACAATACTTTAGGAGCCCAATGGTGTGGTGACTAGACGTTCACCTGCCAATCTGCAGATCATGGGTTCAGGCCCTGATGAAGAAGACTTTCTTCAAAAAAGACCAAGGTGGCCGGCGTGATGTTGACCACATCTCTCACCAAATGTCCACTGGTCTATAGAACATAGATGTAGCTCTATCTGCATAAGGTATGGACTTTTACTTTGAACAATAGTTTCTCATTCATGCTGCTCCGACCAGTAAAGAAAGAGACAAGTGTACACCTACCTGCTAGGAAGATTATTGGTGCTGTAGGAAGGTCAGGTCTGCGACCTTCGTCTTTGATTTTGATTTCTGGAGGAGGAACAAACGTGATGTTTGGCAACTTGAAGCTATACTTAGAACTTGCAGGAGATGCAGGTGGTGACTGAGGCGGGGCTGAGGGCGTCACTGATCTTCTGGACCATCTTCCTGTAGATGGTCGACTTCCTGGAGGCGGAGCTAGAGTGAACAGGAAATAGCTGAACAATAATCTGAATTCAATCTTGGTATGCGTTAAAGTTTACTTCTACAGCTACTATAATGGAAGACAGAATCAATCAGTCAATCTTCAGGTCTTTTACAGAACACTGCTCTCTTGACGGCATACAAGAAAGACTCTCTTACTCTAGTCAATACTCAAACTCTCTGTGCTTTCATAGCCACTGGATCAACAATGTCAGGTATCCATCTTCACGGAGGTCAACCTCTGCCTGGTTTCCAGAAACTGCAGCCTCCATTACTGTTTGACATGGCGCTTGACATGATGAAGACAATAGTGTGTAAAACATACATAAAATAAATGAAGTTTCATTAGGAATCAATGTTTCAGCACTCAGGACATTCCCATAAGTGCTCTGTCCACATCCACATCTTCAGCAGCAAGTGCAGATTTCCAATTCTGATGGTACTAAAACAGTCTGATTGTATATCTTTCTCACCTTTCCCCAGAGTATTGACTGTCAGCCAGGTCGCCTGGTCTCACCTAGCAGCACCATTCTCCTCAGACCATGCTGGTTCATCTGTGCCTCCACACTGTTCACTGGCCCCCAAAGGCTCTTACAAAATCTGTGCCTCCACATTGTTCACTGGCCCCCAAAGGGCCCTTACAACATCTAGCTTCCATGCATACATTCACCACCAAGTTGTACAGAACCAGCCAGTCTATCTCCCTGTTTACTTCCCAACACATCAGTATGAAGTATGAACTGACATCACTACATTCTGGACATTCCCACACATGCTCCATCCCCTTCCTCAGTTGCCACCGAAGAATTCACTTACTGAGGGTGCCAGTGACAACTTGATTAGAAGTTGCCCGTTTTTCCTCAGAAGGTGGAAAATAGCCAGACCTTCTCCATCTGTCCACTCCCTGCTGAATCATTCTCTCCAGATATGGATGCTCTTTCCTTTCTGATGCACAGTTTACTTGGTCCCACAAAGCTTTCATCCTCTCTTCCTCATTATAAAGTAGCTCACCACCCAGCTGGCAGCAGCAGCAAATCTGTCAGCGTGCTCATTACCATACACACCCACATGTCCTGGACAAAGAATTTACTATATGCTTCTTGTGCCAATATAAGCACAAGACTCCAGTTTCTCTTTTCCAAAGCCTGCTCTGTGAGAATGTAAGAACATGGTAAGCTGTACCACTCTCCAGCCATCGGAAAGCTGTCATTACTGCCTCCATCTCTGCGGCAGAAGATGCTGTGACATTGTATGCAAGGCAAAAAGTGGTCCTCCACCTCCTCCTCTTCCTCTATGTTTCTTCCTCATTTCCTCTTCTACTATTTCAGGTCAATGCTCGCAGGCTTGCCAGATTTAGTAAAATAAGAAACGCTGTACAACTCATTATTTGCTTAAAAAGACATTTTTCACTATAAATAGGCTATAAAATATACATTATTAGCATACATAACTTTCTCCATGTTGTTAGTTGCATATCCTTTACAGGACGTTGCAGAACCAACCCCAGCATTTTATGCTGTTGTGGTTTTTCTAGGCAAGTTTACGTCCAGTAGGAACCCAATAGTTTTTTTTATTTAAGAAAACAAAAACATTCAGGAATTCAGGAAAAATGTATCTTTCAACCCTACTGTTCTGGTGCTTAGTCTCCAGGCTTCTTTAATAATTGGCACTTGTACTGTTGTAGAATTTCTCTGACATTATCATTCCATGTTGTTCTTTGTCTATCAGGGCTTCTATGTCTTTCTCCTCTTTCGGTGTATGTTTTGTATGGTATCACAAGGCAGTCTCTAAATTGGACAACCCATTTTGTATGCTGTCTGTCTATTTAATTCCTTTCTTGTAGAAACTTAAGAGACACCACCACAACACACACATTCAAAGTAAATGAACAGTATCTGCACTCACTAGGAATTCTGCCATTTTCTACTGTTTGTAAAATTTTATCAAATGTGGCAGAAAGTTCACTGTCTATTGCGTCGTCATCTTGGTCACCTTCGATCTGAAATATGAAACAAATGTATACCAAATGGCAGGGGTAATGGCAGCATCAGTAGCAGTGGCAGTAACAGTAGTATATAGAAGAAGAATAGGTTCATAGAAACAAAAACAGTACAATACAGAGGTTCTGGAAAGATTACAGATGAAAAAAGAATTACTGAAAGAAATAAAAAAGAGGCAACTGAAATACTTTAGCCACATTAAAAAGACATAACACACTTTTAAAAACCATACTTGGGGAAAGGACAAGGACAAGAAAGTAACAGATGGGCAGCGATACGTGGGAGGACAACATCAAGAGATGGGAGAGCGTGTACTAAGACAAGAAACAGAGCATGTTGGAGAACCAACAGGTTCTGCACTTTAATACTCTTTTTCTCACATCAGTTGACATCTGGAGTTCAATCTCGACAAACATTTAATGAAACAAAAAGGTAATCAGTACTAAGGATATATAAAGAGGTATTCAGTACTAAGGATATATAAAGAGGTATTCAGTACAAAGGATATATAAAGAGGTATTCAGTACTAAGGATATATAAAGAGGTATTCAGTACTAAGGATATATAAAGAGGTATTTATCTTCATCCTTTTTTTTTCATGTTCACTGGCTGTCTACTGTGGTGAAAAGTCCTGGTTGTTCAACCACTTCTGGAGTTTAGTTGTGTTCCATTATTTGTGTGCTGACTGTGGTCTCCATACCTCTCAGGCAGACACACTCTGACTTCAGAGAAAGTGTTGATCCCATCTGTTGCCTAGGCTCCCCGCTGGGCAACTGTTTCTAGTATGACTATCTAGAGGTGTGGATAGGTTGTGACCAGTATGAACTTCGGCGCTGATGCATCAGCATGTGTGGTTTGGCACCATTTACATCCCAGATACAATACAAACAATATACAGGTTTGAGGTTTGAACAACTTATCAACATCATGGCACTCGGGTAGTAACCCATAAGTGCTCCATCCTTCTTATAACTCAAGTCTGAGTCTGAAAAAGCTCAGCACAGTGCATTGGCTCTGTAGCCCTGACAAGGATCCTGAAATACTTTGGGTAGATTTTTAACTCCAAATTTTTGCCTGGGCAGGGCCATTAGGCAATTATTTCCAACTGCCAAGGGATATTTTTTACGTGTGCAACAATGCACACGGACGTACAATCTCACTACCCAGAGACCACAGGGAATTACTAGAAGTCCAAGTCCACGTGTATAAATCTCAGCCCTTACCGGGGATTGAACCCGGAACCTCTAGCACTCGAGGCAGACACCATGTCTCGAGACCACGCAGTGTACCTTCCCTCCCCCCCAAACAAAATACAAATAAGTTTAATGGAAGCAGAGCTACAGGTCGATCATGCAAGCAATGGATGGATGGAACAACCAAGGCCATAAATAGCAGTTTCTACTTAGCACACACCAAGGCTCAAACCTAATGCTTCTTCAAAACCTAATGCTGAAAAACAGAACGGGACTAGACAAGAAAGAAGAAGAAGATACAAAGATGTATTCAATACTAAGAATAATTTATACAAAATGAAAGCTAATCAAGATGGTGTTATCTGTTTACTTACTTAATTCAAACCACAGCGACACCTAACTAACTGCCATATAATATTACCTTGACATTTTAAATGCTACAAAATCTACACTAAGTTAAATTTCAGTTTAATATTTAGTTCAGTTTATATTTAAGTTCAGCATAATGTTTAGTTCAGCCTAAGGCTGAGTTGAGATTAATGCTTAGTTCAGGCTAATGTTGTTCAGTTAAATGTTTCATTTTTTTTATTTTGCCCTCTGTCCCCAAATGGAGGATAGGTCCTCAACCATGTCATGCCAGGTAGTTCTTTATATATATATATATATTTTAGTGGTCAGTTGGTTTTTGTGGCCTTGTTTTTACAGGGTGAGTTAGATAACCTCAAGCCCATCCATACCATTGGTCGCCTCCTACGACATGCCTGGTAGGATGCAGTGTTACTATTCTTTGCTTCCTGTAAGGGCCCTAGTAGCACGCAGGCAAGCTTAATGTTTAGCTCAGACTAAGATTGAATTCAGATTATTGTTTAGCTCAGACTAAGATTGAATTCAGATTAATGTTTAGCTCAGACTAAGATTGAATTCAGATCATTGTTTAGCTCAGACTGAGGTTGAGTTCAAATTACTGTTTAGCTCAGACTGGGATTAAGTTCAGATTATTGTTTAGCTTAGACTCAGATTTAAATCAGATTATTGTTTAGCTCAGACTGAGGTTGAGTTAATATTATTGTTTAGTTCAGACTGAGGTTGAGTTCAGATTATTGTTTAGCTCAGACTAAGATTTAATTCAGATTATTGTTTAGCTCAGACAAAGATTTAATTCAGATTATTGTTTAGCTCAGACTAAGATTTAAATCAGATTATTGTTTAGCTCAGACTGAGGTTGAGTTAAGATTATTGTTTAGTTCAGACTGGGGTTGAGTTCAGATTATTGTTTAGCTCAGACTAAGATTGAATTTAGATTATTGTTTAGCTCAGACTAAGACTGAATTCAGATTGTTGTTTAGCTCAGACTAAGACTGAATTCAGATTGTTGTTTAGCTCAGACTAAGACTGAATTCAGATTATTGTTTAGCTCAGACTAAGACTGAATTTAGATTGTTGTTTAGCTCAGACTAAGACTGAATTCAGATTGTTGTTTAGCTCAGACTAAGATTGAATTCAGATTGTTGTTTAGCTCAGACTAAGACTGAATTCAGATTATTGTTTAGCTCAGACTAAGACTGAATTCAGATTGTTGTTTAGCTCAGACTAAGATTGAATTTAGATTGTTGTTTAGCTCAGACTAAGACTGAATTCAGATTGTTGTTTAGCTCAGACTAAGACTGAATTCAGATTGTTGTTTAGCTCAGACTAAGACTGAATTCAGATTGTTGTTTAGCTCAGACTAAGACTGAATTCAGATTGTTGTTTAGCTCAGACTAAGATTGAATTTAGATTGTTGTTTAGCTCAGACTAAGACTGAATTCAGATTGTTGTTTAGCTCAGACTAAGACTGAATTTAGATTGTTGTTTAGCTCAGACTAAGACTGAATTCAGATTGTTGTTTAGCTCAGACTAAGACTGAATTTAGATTGTTGTTTAGCTCAGACTAAGATTGAATTTAGATTGTTGTTTAGCTCAGACTAAGACTGAATTCAGATTGTTGTTTAGCTCAGACTAAGACTGAATTTAGATTGTTGTTTAGCTCAGACTAAGATTGAATTTAGATTGTTGTTTAGCTCAGACTAAGACTGATTTCAGATTGTTGTTTAGCTCAGACTAAGATTGAATTTAGATTGTTGTTTAGCTCAGACTAAGATTGAATTTAGATTGTTGTTTAGCTCAGACTAAGACTGAATTCAGATTGTTGTTTAGCTCAGACTAAGATTGAATTTAGATTGTTGTTTAGCTCAGACTAAGACTGAATTCAGATTGTTGTTTAGCTCAGACTAAGACTGAATTCAGATTGTTGTTTAGCTCAGACTAAGACTGAATTCAGATTGTTGTTTAGCTCAGACTAAGACTGAATTCAGATTGTTGTTTAGCTCAGACTAAGACTGAATTTAGATTATTGTTTAGCTCAGACAAAGATTTAATTCAGATTATTTTTTAGCTCAGGCTAAGACTGAATTCAGTTTATTGATTGGCTGAGACTTACAATGTACAGTTTTCCCACTTCATCGTAATATTTCAGAACAGACAAAGTTTGTTCTTTAAATATTGTCAACCGTCTTGCAAAGGCACCAGGTGTGTCATCCAGTCTGTCACTAGTCTTTGCTCTGAGCACTGCATTTCTGGTTAATCTGTCCTCCTCGCAGTCAATTAGCAGCAGAGCACCAACAGGTCCCATCTGAAATGTTCAAAAATGCATCTTTACACATTAAATTAAATAAAAATTGCTCACTAAAAAAGAGATGCCATTATATTACTATTACCTGCTATAAGTAAAGAAAAGAATTATTAAAATGTAATTTTTAAAAAAATTTAAAAAAAATAAAACGATATACATTTATGCCATGGGGGTTGCAACATGCCTCTACATAGTGTTGTATTGTACATTAGGCAGGCTTTGGAACCACAGCCCACCTAATGGACACTTTAAGCCTATCACCCTGAGAGTGCTAAAAGAATAGGTCATGACCCCATTGGAATTCCATAAAAAAATCAATTTAACCAAAACATCTACATATTCCCCTCCCCCTTTTTTCTCTCTCTCTAGACATATGTAAAGATTTATAAAGGGAATAATCAATAAACATGAAAAGAGTAAAGCAGATGCTTCACGCTGTGACCTCATGACTTCTATCACTGAGGCTTACAGGACAATTTGATATCAGTGACTTTATAAAAGCTGTTTGATTCACAGGAAACCCACCTCTTTCGTGCTATTTTTAGCTAATATATTCATTTTCTGACCTTCTAAATGTTTGTGCAGATGTGAATACAGTCAATAGCATTAACTATGCCAGTTGCAAACAGGTCACTCGTAAAAATGTGGCTAAGTGCCTTTCTCGGGGATCTGACTCTACCAGAAGTGTAGGTTTTGTAGCTTGTCAGGGAGAGAAGGTTAAGGCCAGTGATAAAGTTCTTCCTCTCCTGAGCATACAGCCTGATGCCAGTGCATCATGATCCCTCTCTCTGCCTGACTTTATTTACTCCAAAGGTAAGGTAACATCAATATGTTTCAAACAAGCTGCCAAATCAGATGAGAAGTGCTCTGCCTGACTGCATGTTAGAGCTTCCCTTCTAGACTTGCTGCCAACAAAGGATGTGGGCCAGACCAGCCCTGCCAAATATTTTTTCAGGCTGCATGTCCTGTTCCCAGGATTCTACTAGTAACCTCCCCAATGCTCTCCTCTACACGAAGCATTGGTACAAGTGGGATGTCAGGTTTGGTATACGCCGCCCAATACTCAGTGTTAACAGAGAACAGCTAAAGTTAAAAGTTACTAGTCAAGAGAAATGACTTCATTGCACTGCGTTCAACATCATGTGGCTCAGTCTCTTTCCACAGTATGGCTATCTGCCTGCTAAGAACATTGCACAAAGTATGAACTCTGTAGCTCCAACAATGATCACTGTAACAGTTGCACCCGTAAAGTGAGCGACACAGCCGTGAAACAAACTCATGATTTTCAGAGTGTGAGGCACCTCATCCACCACACAGCTACAAGGAAACCAAAACAGCGCTAAAGCAGTCTTTCAAGCGGGAGTGGAGAAGGCAGAATGGAGATTACAGGCCAGAGAGTGACAGTATAAACAAACTCAACAAGAAAGAACAAACAACAATTTTTAGACTTCGGACTGGACACTATGGTCTTCGAGCACACCTGTACAGGATAGGCATAAAAGAATCTGCTGCCTGTGATTGTGGAGCTGAAAGACAGACCCCTGAGCACATTCTGCAGCACTGTCCTAACCTCTCCCAGCTGTGGAGCCACATTACAAGAGAAGCTATGGGGGATCTGTGGCGACCTGAAACACACAATGCTTGTTGTGACCCAGACAGGACTCAATGTTTAGCATGACTGATGTTAAACGCAGAAGAAGAAGAAGAGTGTGAGGCAAATGGCTTAACCACTTCGCCGCCAAGGACCTTAAGAGAGCAGGTAGTAATAACCACTGTCAAGAGACAGTTTGGTTATGTCTCACTAAGACCTGACATTAATCTGGGACCATACAGAATAGAAACCCTGTACCCTCTGTGTGGGTTATGGGGCCTCATTTTGGGGGAAAGAAGAATATACCCACTGCCGCCCTAACAAGCAATTTTAAGAAAGAAAGAAAGAAAGAAAAAAAGAAAGAAAGAGAGAAGGAATACAGAATTTAAAAAAAAAACAAAGGCATAGATGAATATTATCAACAGAATATAAAACTGCCTGTGCTGGTTCCAGGGCCCCATGGTGGTGCAAGAAGAATTGACCCACTGACTAAAAGCAAGCATGTCCAGAAAAGTGAAATTAAGCAATTTCTTCAATCGGGTATGTTAGGCTGACAGGCACAGGTATTGCAGCCCAGCTGTAAACCACAATAAAACATGATAACCACTGTTTTTTTTTTTTTTTTTTTTGACAAACGTTGAAGAAAAAAAAATGAAGAAATTTTATAAGAAAGAAAAATAACAACAAAACTGGACTGAAATATGTGGAGAATGTGGAAAGATATCTATATATGTGAATCTATATCATCTAGCTAGGCACACGATGCTGATGATTACCAAAACCCAGTCACTCTGATCACTAACCGTTGTTTCAAATGCATGAGCTTGCTCCATGTTTCGTGGGAATCCATGAATGATGAAGCCCTTTGTTTGCCTGTTGTTTTTCAGGTGGTCACACAACAAGTTAAACACAATGTCCTTAGAACAAATATAATAAAATTAATAAAAACAAAAACTTAAGCTTGTTAGTTCAGTGAAAGGGGGCAGAAGAAGAGATAGTGAGAGAGAGAGAGAGAGTGAGAGAGAGACAGACAAACAGACAGATCCACCCACTCACACACACACAGAGACACACATACAGTGTGTGAGAGAGAAAGAGAGAAAAGGGGTGGGGTTGGGGGAATGATTCAACTATTTTTTTAAAGTTTTTTTAATTAACAAACAAAATGTTGAGAAAGCCTGAGAACAAAACACAACTAGAATGTCTTTGGAACAAAGTCTTAGTTTGAACAGCAGAACAACAAAAGTAATTGCAATTACAAAGAAAATGGATTCTCTAAAATGTAGTATCAAAGTTTATGGGACAATCCTCAAGCAAGCTGATAAGTTTAAATATCATGTTCATATACCCTGAAAATAGCAGGTGGAAGATGTATTAAAAAATTTAAATGTAGAATAGCTCAAGCAAAGGCAGCATAAAAGGAATAATATTCTATGCAATCTTTCTTTGTCAACTGAGAGACAAAAAAGAGAATTCTCAAGCGCTAAATAAATCCTATCTTAATATACCAAAGAGAATTATGGATAGTTGGCCAGTCAGTAAAAAAATTATTAGCAAACAGCAGACATGTGATTTTATAGTTGAATTATGAGAATACCTTGGACAGATAGAAAAAGTAAATGAAAATAATATGAAATAAACTGACAGACAAAAACAACTGATTGCCCACATCAGAAGGAGACAATCTACATTTTCTGTGGTTATGTTATGAGAAGGAAAAAAACTGGAGAACATCGTAACATTAAGAAAGTTGGAGGGGAAGAGAGGCAGAGGGAGATCCAGAGAGAGAAGATGCTAGACAGTTTGACATTATGGCATGGAAGATCATCTGTAACAGAACTGATTGAAAGTACACGAGAAAGAAGGTTGTGGACAGACATGACTACCAATACCCTTTGGTATGGACTATAAGAAACAATCTTTGGAACCCACAGAGGCACAGAAATAAAAGCAGACACAAAAACAACCATGGAGAAAGGAGCTAGAGAGTGAAGTACACAATATGGAGAGGACATGGGGTGAGCTGCATGCAAAAACTAAGCATAGGACGACTTGGTATGAAATGGTTGAGGTCCAATGTTTCTATTGGTGAATAAAAAAAAGTAAAAGTAAAGTAAAGGACCCTTTTCCATGCCTTTAGGCTATAGGGCATATAGGGCTAGACCTATATTTTTTAGACCAATCGGCACAAGATGGGTGATGTAGTCAGCATCACGCCGGCCGCCTCTACTTCCCTGGACTGCATCCGGTACCCACTCAAGGCTGGGTCGACCTGGAAGCCAAGGTCATTTTTTGAAAAAAGTCCAGCAACGCCAGGGAGCGAACCCACGAACTGGTGAATAAAACGCAGAAAAAAAGAAGAAGAAGGAGGAGAACATACCTGATACATCCAAGTGTGGAAAAGGTTAAGTTGATTATTCTTACCTGGGGTGCCAGCTCTCCATTTTTGACCAGATCTTGCACTGTTTTCCATTTATCTTTGGCATTTTTTCTGTTGATCTTGGTCCTCAGTAATTCCCCCACATGAATATTGGTCCAATCTGGATATTTCTTGGCTAATTTGTCGGCATGTGATGATTTCCCACTGCATGGTCCACCTGCAAATAGGTCATATTTCAATAAAAAATAATCACAACTAAATGCACACAATGATTCGGTTCTTTATTTATTTTTTATTTTATTTTTATTTCATGAAGTATAGTGATAAAAAAATAATTTTTAAAAAAAGAGAAAGTAGGTAATATAAGTGAAGGAAGGAATAAGGTTTTTGGTTAATGTGCAGTTAATGTAAGAAAGAAAGAAAGCAAGAAATAAACCAAGGAGCAAGTAGAGAAGGAAAAATAAAGAAGGAGAGATGAATGAAAGCAGGGGATCAAAGAAAGAAAGAAAGAAAGAAAGAAAGAAAGAAAGAAAGAAAGAAAGAAAGAAAGAAAGAAAGAAAGAAAGAAAGAAAGAAAGAAAGAAAGAAAGAAAGAAAGAAAGAAAGAAAGAAAGAAAGAAAGAAAGAAAGAAAGAAAGAAAGAAAGAAAGAAAGAAAGAAAGAAAGAAAGAAAGAAAGAAAGAAAGAAAGAAAGAAAGAAAGAAAGAAAGAAAGAAAGAAAGAAAGAAAGAAAGAAAGGGAAAGAAACAGAATAAATAAAGAATAAAAAATAAAAAAAAGGAAAGAATGAAAGCTTGAAGGAAAAACTCAAGTACTAAACAATTTTTAACACTTGAGATGATTAAAATGGATTTAGCTATTCACTTTTCAGAATAGAAAACAGAAAAGTTATTCTTCTTCTGTGTTTGAGAGCCACTGTAATGTAGTAGCTAGACACTAGCCGATACAAAAGGTCATGGGTTCAGGAATGATCTTGGCTCCCAGGTTGACCCAGCCTTAAATGGGTACCTAGGAAGTAAAGACAGCCATCCATATGTTGACTTCATCACACACTGAGTGCCGTTTGGTCTATAAAATATTGGTCTAGCCCTATATGCCCAATATGCCTGAGGGTGTTGAAAAATGTCCTTTTCTGAGTTCAACCTTAAAAAGGCAGATGGAGTTGTGTTGTGGTTTACAGCTAGGGTGCAATATCTGCATCTTTTGGCCCAACACATCCTATTTGAGCTTAATGTGTTACCTTTTACTATATGCTTGATAGAGGGCAATGATTTTATACTCTACCTCTCAAAATGGGAACCCTGAACCCACATGGGGTGGTGTGGGAACACTAAACCCACATGGGGTGGTGTGGGAAACCTGAACCCACATGGGGTGGTGTGGGAACCCTGAACCCACATGGGGTGGTGTGGGAACCCTGAACCCAGATGGGGTATTGTGGGAACCCTGAACCCACATGGGGTGGTGTGGGAACCCTGAGCCCACGTGGGGTATTGTGGGAACCCTGAAACCAGATGGGGTATTGTGGAAACCCTGAACCCACATGGGGTGGTGTGGGAACCCTGAATCCATGTGGGGTATTGTGGGAACCCTGAACTCAGATGTTGTATTGTGGGAACCCTGAACCCACATGGGGTGGTGTGGGAACCCTGAACCCACATGGGGTATTGTGGGAACCCTGGACCCGCATGTGGTGGTGTGGGAACCCTGAACCCACATGGGGTGGTTAGTAAATGATTTCTAATCTTACATTCTGTTTTAAAACTGGTGGCATGTGAACAAGAAAACTATAAACTGAGGCACAGCAACGATAATTCTAAATGGGCAATGCATTTTTTTCTGAACATCATGTCTTTCATCACTTTAACTAATTCATCTCATACTTCAGCCATATAAAAGAGACAATTTCATGTCGAAAGATCTGCTAGAAGGAAGTGTGGAGAGAGGAAGCCAATTTTCGCAACTGGAGGATCAACATCAAGAGAAGAAGCAGAACATTACATATAAGATTAGTTTCACTTTCGAGTCATGTATGCAGGTGTAGGAGGAAATGAACAAGTTGAAAGGCTTGCTGGTGGGACTACTCTAAAAAGCAGGTAAGATGCACTGGGCTGATGTACCAGGTATCTTTAAAGAGGTAGGAAATTTTAATGAATCGAATGATGACTGAATTGGCAACCTTAACTAGACTGAAAAATATCAATTCAAAAGGGGTAAAGCCAGACAAGAGCACCACTCAGGAAGCCAAAGAATAATATAAACTAACACAGAAATGGTGTCATCAGTTGCTATAATATAAGTGATATCAAAGTACCGATGGACAGAATGATTTCTCAACTCCTTGAAGTGGATCCATGTGTTACATCATACAACTGCCTCACAGTTGTTACTTCAAACACTTCTGTTCATTCATCATCATCATAATCCTGTAACACTACGTGTTGTTGGGTCACCAGTTTTTGTTGACTGATTAAACCCCTCCACAATTGACGGTCAGGTGCGATGGACTTCATGGTTGCATGCCAAAGGTCTGTCTAATGAGTTAGGTTCTGTATCTAGGTCTTTCATGGTCTGCCCCTTCTCCTCTTTCCCTCTACTGAGCCCTGTAGTATTGTTTCTGACAGGCAGTTACATCTTATTACATGTCCATACCATAACATTTTACACATTTGTACTGTAGTTACAAGAGGTTCATAGTGGCCAATTCTGTTCCATTAGGTATTTTATTTGACCTGCTTAAGTCTCAGAAATGTATTGGATGGTTCAAGTGAAAACCTCACTGAATAAATGAGCTTAAATAACATTTTCTAGAACTGAAATAATCAAACGTATAATGAGAATGATCTGTCAACTAATTAACTGTTTGGCATACCCATGACAAACACGACTGGCACATTGATCAGCTGTCCTGAGCCAATAGGAGGCAATGGAGCAGACATAGATGATAATGGTCTTGCATCTTCTGTAGAAATTTTTTTTATTAAAAAGTAATGTTATCACGTGAATAATGGTTATTATAACTAATTTACACATTAAAATGTGGGCTCTCCTCCGAATAATGGTCCCAAATAATCTACGCAGAAAGTAAACCCAAATAGAGCCTCATTACTTCCTGCCCTACAAACATTTAAAAGGTGTAGCTCGAAAAAAAATAAGGAACAAAAAGTGTTAGGAAAAGGGCAAAGTGTACAACTTACCGAAAATTAAATCCTTTATATGTGAAAATTGTGGCACAGAAGTTTCAAATTATCTGTTCTTTCTCGCTGTCCGCCATCACAACTCAGCACAGCTTGTCCGCGATTCTTGTTCCGGGCAAGACATGATCAGTAATGCGCAGTTTAATGTACGCGCATGTCGCCTCGGGACAACTTCAAACCAGCAGCCGCCACGGTGGCACTTCACTATCCCGACCACCCTTGACCATGGCGAATGCGAGCGCACTGGTACTTCGGACAGAAGAAGTAGCTCCTGTAAATTGTAGACTTTTTTTCCAGCGACTATAGTGTCACCTCCAAGAGTATCCCCTGGAAGGGGCTAAACTAGATGGCTGGGACTCACGAGCAAATACATTGGAGGAAGCTGCAGGAGCTGCGGTAGCTGCTGCTCGTGAGTCCTAGCCATCTAGTTTAGCCCTTTCCGCGCCGCGCATAGCGGCGTGGGGGATACTCTCGGAGGTGGCACTATAGTCGGCGAAAAGCGGTCCGCAACTTACATATAACTTGGGCCCTGCCGTAGGATAGCGCTATCGGGAGTATTCTCGCATGACGAAAATTTTTTTTTTTTTTTTTGCAGTTAATCCTAGTTTTGCCGCATTTTAATCGCAGTAAAAAAAATATGTTGCGTTTCGTAAAAATGTTGTGCGCAATTAATCCTACTTTTGACACGGTTGATTTGCCGCAAAAGAAATGCAAATTTTAGATATTAGTGAGGCTCTGTTTGGGTTTACTTTTTGCATAGATCATTTGGGATCTTTATTCGGAGGAGAGCCAAAATGTGTTCTAAACCAAAAAAAACTAAATTACAAATATTATATTTTCTTCCCCCCCCCCCCCCCCCCCCCCCCCCACCCCCCAATATGCTCCATCTTTTCTTCTTTGTCATTTTTTAACATTTTCTGTTGATCACTATATAGTCCTCAGCCTACTTCTATTAAGACCTGAGAAGAGTCATTCGATAATCTCATTCTTGACAACAAACCATCAGGATAGATCTGAGATACCCTGCTCAACCCTACAGGAACACCCATGTGGGTTCCTGGGTCCCATTATGGAGCGACAAATAAGAGACAAACTGCCTCCCTATCAAGCATGTCATAAAAGGCAGATATTAGGTATTTTTCCTCTAGAGAGCATCTGCCTGTGAGGCAAGGAATGAACAGTCTGCTGAACATAAGCAGATCTGTAAAAATGATGTGCAATCACAATTCATGTTCTGGAACAAGACTAAAGTCCACAAGTGGATGAACAACTGTAATAAAGATGAAGCTACTCTGGGTCATTACCTTGTCAATGAAAGTAAGGTGTATTAGAGAAAACATAGCAACGGATATGGAGATGCATAACTGGATTTATGGACACAGAACCAACCAACATACTTGCACTGAAGAATTCAACATGTAGAAAGGAGGCCGATTACCTGATTTTAAAAAAAAAAAAACCAACTCTGAGTTCTCAGACTATAAATGTAAGAACAGATGATCATTGACAGGAAACATGCTCTTCCATGAGAAAGGGGGACAACTCTAAATGAGGGTGCAGCCATTCAAGGAGACGTTTGATCTGAGGGGAGATACTTGTTGGTAACAACAGACAGATGAGAGAGAGAGAGCGCTCAGATGAACTGGATGTCAACTGAAACACTCACTAGCTTTGAAACAGATATTCTTTGAGACAGAAACAGAAAACGTGGTTAAAAGAAAGAACTAGAACTGCAAACTTAAACTAGAAGACAAGAATGTGACTGGAAGTTATCCTAGAGTGGATTTCATACCAGAGTAAATCTAACAACTAGCTGCCGAGATTTACAAGCATAGTGGGAACATTTGGTGAAGACATTTCTGAAAATGAAGACACAACATCTTTATGCATGTGTATTGAAATGATCTATGTTTGAACTAATGATGATTCCCACAATAAACTATCTCGTGTTGTACATTTCTTGAAGTCACTATTTAAGTGTTAAGAGACACTTATACCTTTTTCAATCAACTATACGCTCACAACAAAACCAAGAGGCATCATCCAACCATCTCATCATCCTTTTGTCATTGTTGACATGTTTAAAACTGGGAGCATGAAAAGTGAAGACAACTTCGCTACACAGCCACAACTTTCCGCCAGAGTTAACAGCCATTGAATACTAAGAAGAAGAAAAATTGCATAGGAAGTTACAATTTAGGAGCTTGTAACGACCACACCAGCCTGGTGCAGCCTGCTGGATGTTCAGTTTTCTCAGTGCACTGTCTCGGAAGGCTCAGATGGTTGGGTGACACTTTGAGAGTGGCAGAGTCCCTAAGCATCTCCTCTGTGGTGAATTACAGGTAAGCAGAAGGTGTCCAAGCCAGCCTCTGCTATGAAATAAATATATGCGCAAGCAGGTGAGGAATAATGCATGTTTTAAGGTGGATTCATAAGAACAAAATGCCATGGATCGTGTTGAGGGGGGGGGGGGGGGGGGGGGGGGGTCAGAAATAAAAAAGGAATACAGAAAGAAATTATTGCCGAAAGGAAGAAAGCTGAGCGTCTGAGAAGAAACACGCTAAAACATGTGATAACAAGAATGGTCCTGAAATTCTATGTTCTAATTATGAAAGACATTTTTTAAAAGGTCTTGTTAGTCACACTCAGCATCACCATGGGCTGTGAGTCCCATGCCTCGGCACTTGTTAGTCACACTCACCATCACCACAGGCTGTGAGTCCCATGTCTCGCCACATGTTAGTCACACTCACCATCACCACAAACTGTGAGTCCCATGTCTCGCCACTTGTTAGTCACACTCACCATCACCACAGGCTGTGAGTCCCATGCCTCACCCCTTGTTAGTCACACTCACCATCACCACAGGCTGTGAGTCCCATGCGTGGCCATAGCACAAAATAATACTGTCGTCTGGAAAGATGGAAAGGGCCAGCAACAACAACTATTGGATGTACACCCGTTTTATGTAGAGAACTATTCCTGTTACCTTTAGTGCTTTCTCTTGACAAAGGTCTTCTTTTCCCGTTCTCCGGTAAAATAGGTGGCAGCGGTGTTTTAGCCGAGTGTGCTTCTACAAACATGTTCCATGTTACTGCATCTTGACCTTTGGCTTTGACCTTTTCCAGGCTGTCTATCAGATACTGTATGTGGTCGTTTGGTCGGTGAAACATCAGACCCGTCATGAGGCACTGGGGGAATAACATTTGCAATGGAGCTTTAAATCTGGTACAGTCAGAGGACAACATTTGCATGGAAGTAATTGTAATGTGTCTTTTTAATGTTTTCCTCCAGAACTGCAGGTGGTAGCGTTAACTCTTTCGGCACCAAACAATGCACCAGTCACAATGTTATTATGCTTGTACATTTTATGTTGCGGATCCAAAAGTCATGGGTTCCGGGGTCTGACAAAGACAGAACTTTTTTCAAAAATGACCTTAGCTTCTAAGTCAGCCCAGTCTTAAATGGGTACCAGGTAGACTCCTGGGAAGGTAAGGGGGTCAGTGTGATGTTTACGACATCACCTACCAAGTGCCAATATGTCTTTAAAATATAGGTCTAGCCCTATATGGCCAATACACCTAAAGGCGTGGAAAAGGGTCCTTTACTTTACTTTACTTACATTTACTACTTAGATAGGACATATTAAAACACCCAATAACACACCAGACTCCTACAAAGGTTGTGTGTTTAGCTCCTGTGGATGTAGTGTACCCATGAGTTTGTTGCTGTCACTGTGACCTCATCTGGACATCAACTATGATGTTCTTGGACTGAAAGAATAACATCTCTTTGTGTTGTGTGCTCAACTCTCTTTGCTGTTTAATTGTACCATAGGTCAGAGGCCTACGCTAGTCGTAAAGGCGCTAGATGATGATGATGACAGAGACAAGTGTAAAAAGTCCATGCTACTTGATGTTTGAGACAAATATTTCTTTAGATTAACGGCTAACAGCGGTCTCAACAGGTATTGCAAGACCTAAACGTGACTAGCCCATGAGCTGAAGGCTAACAGAGGTCTCCACAGGTATTGGAAGACCTAAACGTGACTAGCCCATGAGCTGAAGGCAAACAGAGGTCTCCACAGGTATTGCAAGACCTAAACGTGACTAGCCCATGAGCTGAAGGCTAACCCATGTCCAGGCAGTGACTCTCAGTCAGTCTTAGTATAAGGACATGTTTGTGCATGAGTTGTTCCGGTCCGGTGTGTTTTAACAAGGAGATATATACTGTTGGAGAGTTGGACTTTTCATTAGGAGTTGTTGCATATAATTTGGAATGCTCTAGTTGAGTGTATTTTGTGGAGACAAGACATTAAGAGTCCAACACTTTATTTGCCACTGTTGAGAGGAAATCGTTTTACTAAGAGGATGTGATCATTCCTCGTCATTGTACTGACTCGCGACTGTGTGTTGGGAAAACTTGGTGGGCCAGGGGCAAAGTCTCTAATCAGTTCATTGTGTAGGATTCCTCACTAGGTCTGACTCGCGACTGTGTGTTGGGGAGACTCGGTGAAGGGAATCTCTAGTCAGTTCCTTGTCCTGACTCACGACTGTGTGTCGGGGAGACTCGGTGAAGGGAATCTCTAGTCAGTTCCTTGTCCTGACTCACGACTGTGTGTCGGGGAGACTCGGTGAAGGGAATCTCTAGTCAGTTCCTTGTCCTGACTCACGACTGTGTGTCGGGGAGACTTGGTGAAGGGAGACTCGGTGAAGGGAATCTCTAGTCAGTTCTTTGTCCTGACTCATGACTGTGTGTCGGGGAGACTCGGTGAAGAAAATCTCTAGTCAGTTCCTTGTCCTGACTCGCGACTGTGTGTCGGGGAGACTCGGTGAAGGGAATCTCTAGTCAGTTTCTTGTCCTGACTCGCGACTGTGTGTCGGGGAGACTCGGTGAAGAGAACCTCTAGTCAGTTCCTTGTCCTGACTCGCGACTGTGTGTCAGGGAGACTCGGTGAAGGGAATCTCTAGTCAGTTTCTTGTTCTGACTCACGACTGTGTGTCGGTGAGACTTGGTGAAGGGAATCTCTAGTCAGTTCCTTGTCCTTCTTCTTCTTCCTCTGCGTTTGACATCAGTCATGCTAGACATTGAGTCCAGTCTGGGTCACAAATAGGATTGTGTGTTTAAGGTCGCCACTGGTTCCCCATAGCTTCTCTTTCAATGTGGCTCCCTTGGGCCAGATCCACAGTCTTTGCTGGGAGAGATTAGGGCAGTACTGTAGTATGTGCCCAGGGGTCTGTCGTTCTGCTCCACAATCACAGGCAGCAGATTCTTTTATGCCTATCCTGTACATGTGTGCTCGAAGACCACAGTGTCCAGTCGGAAGTCTACAAATTGTTGTTTGTTCTTTCCTGTTGAGTTTGTTTATACTGTCACTCTCTGGTCTGTAATCTCCATTCTGCCTTCTCCACTCCCGCTTGAAAGACTGCTTTGGTTTCCTTGTAGCTGTGTGGTGGATGAGGTTGTGGAAGATTACTCCCAGCTTTTGCAAACTCATCTGCTCTCTCATTTCCTTGAATACCACAGTGGGCTGGTATCCACTGCAAGATCAGTTCTGCTTCCTTGGAGAGTAAGCCAATGTTGGTCCTTAGATCTGCAATTAGTTTGTCTTGTTTTTTTGCTTGATAGTGCTTTGAGAACAGACAATGAGTCACTAAGTATAACAATTTTCTGCCCTCTGTGTTCTTGATTGATGAGATGTTGGACTGCAGAAAGGAGGGCAGTTTCCTCAGCTCTGAAGTTAGTGCAGATGTCACCTGCTGGTAGAGAGAGAGTTTCTGTTCTACTGCTAGGGGGTTTAATGTATATTCCACAACCCCCCTTTCTGGCTGCTTCTGTAGCAGAGCCGTCGGTGAAAACCTGAGTCCAAGTGGTGTTTGGATACTTCTCATCAAGCATAGCAAGAGCCAGGGTTCTCTGTTGTGTCTCTGTCTGGGCATCTTTTGAAGTGATCCCTGGTACCGTTAGGACTACATTTGCCTTCTCTGGCTTGCTTGTCCATGGTTCTGGCCTAAGTTTTTTGCACAGTGATACATCTCTTTTAAGCAGATCTCCGTGCTGTCTCTACAGTTCTCTAGCAAGGTGGTTGGGGCTCTGACGCTTCAGTCTGTTTTTTGTTTCTTTCTTGAAATTTAAAATGCAGTGGATGACTTTCAAGTCTTTTTAATTTCTCATACTGTAAAAGAGTTTTGTATTGTCTTCTGAGTTCGAGTGGTTCAGTATCTGCTATCCTCTCTATCTCTCTGATGGGGGTGGTTTTCATGGCTCCGAGAACAATCCTTAATCCCATATTCTGAACCTTGTCCAGTTTTCCCATTGTTGTCTTGGCTGCTGCAGCCCATGCAGTGGAGGCATATTCCATGACTGGCCTGACTGCTCCAGTATATACTTGTTTTAGGATTCTGAAGTTGGCGCCAAATGTGGTACCCGCTAATTTTTTCATCAGTTCCTTGTCCTGACTCGCGACTGTGTGTCGGGGAGACTTGGTGTGCTGGGTGCAAAGTTTCTAGGCAGTTATTATGTAAGTGGTTAGCTGCTGTTGGTTATTGGTGAACCAAAGTGTGGGTACGTAATTGCATCCTTTATTAAAGGCTAATGGTTACCCCAGAAGTGGGCCTGTAGACCAAATGTGTTTATGCTGTGGACGCACATCAAGTCAAGGCTAGGTGTTGTTCTTTGAGGTGATGCCGTCTTGGAAGTATACCGATGGGTATCTGGGAGTATTAGACGGACAGTAGTTCTGTAATCACCATCGTCATACTGTATTTGCTCAATAAAGAGACTGACGCACTATTATAGAGATGACTTGTAATGCAATTTTGTGGACACTGCTTTCAGTGTTTGTGGAACAATGTTACTATGTGTTATCTAAGTACTCTCCACTAGGGAACCCAATTAGTCTCCGGACAGTCGACTTAGGAACTTTTATATATATATATATACACATATATATGGGTGAAGCATAATCATTCACCCCCAGACACTTTGCTAGATATGCATCCATAGCCCATACATCACTTTGATGAGAATCAAACAGAAGCAAACTTAATTTAACCAAAGAACACAGTTATACTGAAAAAACTCTATAGCTAAAAAGTTATCCGCAGTCCATTGTGGGTGGGATCTCATATCTAACTAGTGTTAGGAATAGCATAATAATGTGGCTATGAAGGGTCAGATTTACATGGGTACAATGAACAAAGAATTATGAATAATAACATGGAATGAATCAATTTAAGAAAAATAGAAGGAAACATTTGGCAAAAAAGAAGGAAGTTTAAAAATATGGAAGGAACAAGTGAAATAAAATCATAACAAATATTAAAGGAATGTACAAATGAACAAATGTAATATAAGCTAAGAAGGAAGTAAGATTTTTTTTTTAAATGGATGAGCAAGGAAGACGTTACAAACGTATAAAGCAAAGAAAGTATCAGAAAATTAAAACAAATTACGTTAAAAAGAAACCGACAATTGAAAGTTAATGGTTCTGGACAAGATAGTGCAGCAAAACTAAAAATCTACGGAAAGGGAAGGCTGAATTACAATTGAACAGTCAATAAATATTCATCAGTTAATGAAACTGGAGTAAAATGAATACCACAAATAGTTGTATCAAGTAAGCCTATCCAACTTGGTTCATGTCAGTTTAGATTAGACAAGAAAATCAATAACCATTAGGTAGGCAATATAATCACACAGTTGAGTTAACAAGCATGGATATTGATTTTTTGACAATTTGTCTGCATAGGAAACTGTGTAGGCAGAAATCCGGATGAAACAAAGATTATATTAGCTGAACATAACTTGATATAATTGTGCATGTGGTTGAAATGCATTTAAAAGACCCAAAAAATAGAAATCATAGTGGAATGACAACAACGCAATAAAATGAAGGTAATGGAAAAACAATGAAAAGTGAAGAAGTGTATAAAAAAAGAATGGAAGACTGAAGAAGGGTTATGAAGGAAAGCATAGGAAGAAAAGAAACAAATAAAAATAACACAAGGAAGAAGAATGAAGATGAAATTTTAAAAACATGTGTGCATGTGCGTGCATGCGTGCATGTTTAAGTAGTGGTGTGTCTTTGTCATCCTCTCAGATATCTTTGTATCTGGTCTGTTATTATGCTAAAGAATCTTATGCTTTTTCCCTTTCTTAATCAGATTATTTTATTTAATTAATTCTTCACCATCAAGTTCCTGATTTGTTTTTCCCACTCTAAATGTCAGTCTGTTGTATAGACAAAGAGTTAATTATTTCCAGGGCATCCAAAACTTACTGACATTGTATGGGATGACAGACTATTTAACTCTTTCACCCCCCAGACAAAACACTATATGGGATGACAAACAGACTATTTAACTCTTTCACCCCCCAGACAAAACACTGTATGGGATGAACAACAGACTATTTAACTCTTTCACCCCCCAGACAAAACATTGTGTGGGACTGGAATTTTTCTGTATATCTCAACAATCCTTTAACGTGTTCATGTGTTTTCGACATTTGGAAGAAAAAATGATTTCTGGTCTTAATCTCAGGTCACTTAAAGTGGATCCTAAATATTTGAAATGATTGACTTCTTCTAATTTGTGACCTTTAACGCAGATTGGTGAAGTTATGCCAGCTGGATTACTAGTCATTACTTTTGTTTTTTTCTGCATTTATTTCCATGCCATTCTTGGTCGATGTTTCATCAAGCAGATTTATAAATTCGACTGGTCCTTGTTCTTCCGCGGCCAACCCATAGATGTCATCTGCAAACATTAAGTTTGTTATAGTGCGAACTCCTATATCAATGGTGCCTTGATGCTGTTCTATGGCATCAGTCATAATTCTTTCTAAGAAGATATTAAACAGTGTTGGGGTAAGGAGGCAGCCCTGAGGGACTTCCACTGTTGTTTGCAGCTAGCTCCCTATTTGTCCGTTCAGCGTGACAGTACTATGGGCCTTGGCATAAAGCTGTTTTATACTACGTATGATGGTTTTACCCTTATTGCATTTTTTTCAGTGTCCCATAGTGTCAAAGTTGACAACAAGATAAAAAAATCCACCATCCCAAACAAGCATGTCCTAAAATGTGACGCATTAGGGATCTGCTGAAATCGGATGTGTTGGGCTGAAAAGTGCAGATATCACAAACTATTTAAAAATCACAATACAAAGTCCTAAATGCCCTTTTAAAGATGAACACAAAGATGATGAAGGTTAGTTGTTTTAGGCATTCACTAATTCCATACCAAGCAATTCACCACATGTTTACTTGTATCTCCATCATTTAATGCTTTTCCCTTAACTGATTATTTATCTGGTTGTTATATTCCCTTTTCCCTAAATTCTTATTATTCATTTACCTACTGTATTCCCTTTTCCCTTAACTTCTTATTTTGATCTACCTTTATTGCATTCCATTTTTCCTTGACATCTTATTATTCATCTACTTGTCACATTCTCTTTTCCTGTCTTCTTTCTTTTGTCAATATCTGCTTATGCCGCTAGGCATCGCAGTTCATCAGATGATGAGCAGCCGAGCCAGGGTGCGCTTACTCGCTTGATATGCTGTGATGTTATGCAGTCTTAAGGTGTCCGCAACTCCTTCAATCCATCTTCTTCTCATTTTTTCCCTGCCTCTTGATATTCCCGTTTTCAGGTTGTACGCTCTTGCTGCTGATATATTTGATTTGATTCTCATTAGATGGCCAAACCTTTTCATTCTTTGTTTCTCAATAAATTTGATGATAGGTTTTGTTCGAACAGTTCTTGTGATCTCGTCGTTTCTTACTCAGTCTCTTCTGGTTTTATTCCCAAACATCTCATCTCACAGGTGGTTACTTTTCCTTCATGTTTTTATAGGTCAATGTCCAAGTCTGACATTGGTAACCTAAAGTCAGTTTAAATATTGTATTTATAATTTGTCTTTTGTTTATATTGGGATAGCAGAGTGTTTTAAAATTGAAGAAGTTGATCCGTAACATTGTTGGCTTGTTGGATTCTCGTTTCTATCTCTCTGTCTATTTTACCATTGTATATAAAGATGCTTCCCAAGTATTTCATTTTTGCACTTGTTTCAGACTTTCATCTTTATGTCGATGGTTTGTTGTTCTTTACATAATCTCATTACTTCTTTTTCTATAAATTCTTTTAATTCATCTAACTCATACATTTCTTTTTCCCTTTACTTCTAATATATATATATATATATATATATATATATATATATATATATATATATATATATATATATATATATATATATATATATATATATATGTATATATATATATATATATGTATATATATATATATATATATATATATATATATATATATATATATATATATATATATATATATATATATATATATATATATATATACATACATATAATATTATTTATCTAGCTGTTACATTCTCTGTTCCCTTCTTTTTCTTCTTCTTCTTCAGCATTTTGTGCCCTTGAGGTTCATTGCTGCAGATATCATCTGCCTCCATTAATCTCTCATTGTTTGCCTTCTCTTTGCATTTGGTAACACCAAGTGTTTGCAGGTCTGTCTGGACAAAATCTCTCCACTGTCTTCTTGGTCTGCCTCGTGATCTATGACCATTCATCACTCTTTTGTATACAGTTTTTACTTCTCTGTCATCTGACATTCTTTCAATATGCCTCAACCATTTCAGTCTATAAGCTCTCACGATGCCAGTGATCAATATTGATTTAAACAGATTATGAATTTTGTTGTTGCTTCTCACCCTCCATTCCTCACTGTTTGCATCTTTGATATGTCAAAGATTTGTTGTAAGACTCTGTTTTAAGACTCTCTCTTTTCCCTTAATTTCTTTTGTTCATCTATCAATAAACACACAGCCTTTAAGAAGATTATTTAATACTATTTTGGTGATTGTGCTGACACACTTTTTATTATTTTTATTGCTAAAAATTAAATTATAGTATATTTCCATTATCCACATATTTAAAAGATTTATATATTATACAGCTTTCTGAGGTGAACTGATGTCATTTAAAACAGGTGAGGATTTTGGATATAAAAGTACACAGTGCTGGATAACTTGCTAAAGAAAAAGAGACTTTCAAGTGTGTCATGAAGAGAGAGATGTTCTGTAAAAGACCTGCCTTTTTTTTGAGGGGCCTCAGCACATTATTTAGTTTGGGGCATCAGTCAGTATAAATCCGGCCCAGCCAATAAGACACTACTCCCATGGCATCCTATTTACTGATTTAACTCTTTGAGTCCCAAGGAACACATCATACGTCCATAGGTTCCTACCTAGAAGCCCAATGACGCGCCAATTTTATTACTTTCTTTACTACCCCCTGGGCCTGTGGTGATAAACCCCTGGGACTCAAAGAGTTAATAATTAGGACTATTAGCACCTGACCAGCAGGTATACAACAACAACTGTGTGCAGAAAATCTGCAAGTCATATAGGCATTACATCAACTGACCCCCCTCTCCCCTCACTGGACTACAGGTTACTCTGTAGCCGTATTTTTGTCTTCTTCTTCTGCCTTTCTAACCCCAGTGGACAGCACAGGCCCTCAGCCAATTTATGTCAAGTTGTTCTATCCTTTGCTATAGCATGCAGCTCTTCCCAAGTCCTCACCATCTTTCTAACTTCACTTTCTAGCTCCCTTGTCCGTGCTTTTGTGTGTGTGTTCCTTTATATCTATGCCCTTGTTGGTTCTAGTACAAAGAGAAAGAGAGACTTTTAGAAGTGTCATGAAGAGAGAGATGTTCTGTAAAAGACCTGCCTTTTTTTGAGGGGCCTCAGCCCATTATTTAGCGACTGCGTTCAGTTACTGCTTCTTACGACGCATTAAGGAGTGGATTAGAGGGATGGAGACAAATGACATAATTACTGTGTGTTGGCAATAGACAGCGTGCAGTGCCCTACTGTCATCATACCGTTAGGGTTTGGGTTACGGTTTGGGTTAGGTTTAGGGTTAGGGGTAGGGTTTAGGGTTAGGGTTTGGGTTGCTACGTTGAGTTTGTGTGACAACGAGATGCTGCGACACTAACCACAACGCTAACCCTAACCCACACCCTAACCCAATACCTAACCCAAACCCTAACCCAAACTGTATGATTATAGCAGGGCAGTGCACGCTGTCTATCGCCAACACACAGTAATTGCGTCAATTGTTTTGTTCCCTCCTTTTCCACTCCGTAATTGCACTGTAGCCAAGGGACAGAACTCCAACTAACCGGCCGTGTACTGTTGTCTACCTGCCGTAGTTGACAGGAGAGCCGATTGTTTTCATATTTTCTTAATGTCTGTCCTTTTCCTTTGTTGTACCCCAAAACAGCTGTATTATATTTACTTATAGTTCTAATTTATTATTTTATCCATGATATCTACATTCTAGCATTCTTGATTCTCATCCTTCATATATAAAGCTTACAGGCCGCAACCATAAAGGCTGGAGGGGGAATTGAAATTTAAAAATAAAACCCCCAAACTGGCTTACTCTTACGTACAAGAAACTGCTCACCTCAAAGAGCCGAGGTACCTCTCGTGCCGCGAGATACGCTTTAGCATCCTCGGTGGACATCTTCCCGCTCCTACAGCGGATATATCTGACTGCCTGTGCTGCGATTTTGACGACTCGACTGGACAACACTCATAGAACTCGCCAACGCCTCCTCCTCTACCCCCAGAGAAATCTCTGCTCTGCTACAACTCCGTTTCTAATGACAACACAAACGTGACCGCGTCACTCCGTCATCGATATATCCGCCCGCAACAATAACTAAGAAATATTTTAATTTGATGAATACATATGCATTGTCGATTCCTTTAGGCATTCAATTTAAATATAATTGACTGGGTTCTGTCGTGAGGTGTGCGATTTTATCATTTAGAGGAAACGACTGTATGCACTGCTGAAATCTGTCTCATTTCCAGAACTAAATTCAAAATGGCAGATGTATCATTATCATCATCATGTGGCAGGTCCAGAAAGCCCGAAAAAAAAAAAAACAGTCTCTCGCAGGCTCCTACGTTTCCTCTACCCAAGATGTCTCTTCTGCCCTGTGGCCATCTTCGTGCTGGTCGGACCCTGCCTACATTATTTGGTTCTGTACCATGACTTTTTTAATTCAACCAATTATGGCTGTAGCGGTTAGACACTCGCCTGCAGATCGGAAGGTCGTAGGTTCGGGTCCTGGCGATGCCTGACTTTCTTTCAAAAGTGATCTTAGCGCCCAGGTTGACCCAACCTTGAGTGGGTACCAGCTAGAGTCACCGGAAGTAAGGCGACCGGCATGATGCTGATTACCACATCACCTACCGAGTGGCAGTTGGTCTATAAAACATAGGTCTAGTCCTAATATGCGCAATACGCCAGTAGGCGTGAAAAAGGGTCCGGACTCTCCTTTCAACTACGGCCGGTAGACAAATGTAGACGGCCGGTTAGTCGCTACCACGGCGTTTGAAACGGCAAAAGTGATTCAGTTTCGGAGACAAGATGGTGTTTACAAGCCTCTTTTTCTTGCTGTTCACAGATCTTTCAAGGTGTCAGTCTTCATTTCTTCGTGTCCATGGCATTATGTAAATATTTCTATAGAATTTCGGCCATTTTTTGCCTTAAAGATTGCGAGATAGTCCACAACTAACATCCGTAGGCAGATGCATGGTATTTTAAACGTGACATATGCCGCCCAAGTTCAAAGGACAAACTCATAAATCTACTGGAGCGATAGGTTGAAGGCCAACCAGCAAAAAGTATACCGGAAAATACATTGGACAGACGCGGTCCCACAAAGAAAATATAGGGGCTGTAGGTGCAGGGCCTCTGGTGACGCCCCCCACCCCCCTTTCTTCCATCGCCTTACAAATTATCTGGGCAATTTTGGGGGGGGGGGGGGGGGTGCTCCCTGTAGAAAAAAAAACATACTGGAGAGAAAAGTTGAAGGCAGGAGGCAGACACACACACATGTGGGAGGATTGCATCAAAAGACGAGTCTGAGAGTGTACAACCAAGATGAGAGACACATCCAGTGCATTCAACCTTCATTGTTCTGATGGTGCCTAATTGATTCTTCTTCTTTACTTATTCATTTACTGCTTTGGGTCGATGGAGATCTAAGGTTGTTTTTTTGCCACCTCGACCATAGACATATCGTGCTTTTGTAGAGTTTCTCTAATGTTTTCTTTCGATTTGTTCTTGGTCGGCCTTGTGCTCTATGCCATTCTCATCTTTTGGTTATGTCTTGTATGGTATGGTGTCACAAGGCATTCTCTCTAAGTAAGCTGATTTGATTTCTTTGTATGTAATTGACAAGTGGTTCTGTGTTGACTTTCTTCTCTTGTGGCCTCATTTCTAAATCCACCTCTTCTGGTAACTTCTACCGTCCTTCAAAGAAATCTCATTTCGATAGTTCCTAATCTACTTTCCTGGTGTACTGTATCGGATCATGTCTGGCACTAGTAGCACAGAATGAGAATGAATATTCTTTGTATGAGATGTTTCTCTGTGTTGACCAGGATCATCTTATGCTGTAATTGACTGAGCTCACTAAATGCTACAAGTACACTCAACATACTACACCTCTCTAAGTACACTCAACATACTACACCTCTCTAAGTACACTCAACATATTACACCTCTCTAAGTACACTCAACATATTACACACCTCTAAGTACACTCGGCATACTACACCTCTTTAAGTAGACTCAACATACTACACCTCTCTAAGTACACTCAACATAAGACACCTTTCTAAGTACACTCTACATATGACACCTCTCTAAGTACACTCAACATACTACACCTCTCTAAGTGCACTCAATATACTACACTTCTCTAAGTGCACTCGACATACTACACCTCTCTAAGTAGACTCAACATACTACACCTCTCTAAGTAGACTCAACATACTACACCTCTCTAAGTACACTCAACATATGACACCTCTCTAAGTACACTCAACATACTACACCTCTCTAAGTACATTCAACATACTACACCTCTCTAAGTACACTCGACATACTACACCTCTCTAAGTAGACTCAGCATACTACACCTCTCTAAGCGCACTCAACATACTACACATCTCTAAGTACACTCGACATACTACACCTCTCTAAGTAGACTCAACATACTACACCTCTATAAGTACACTCAACATATGACACCTCTCTAAGTACACTCAACATACTACACCTCTCTAAGTACATTCAACATACTACACCTCTCTAAGTAGACTCGACATACTACACCTCTCTAAGTAGACTCAGCATACTACACCTCTCTAAGCGCACTCAACATACTACACCTCTCTAAGTACACTCAACATACTACACCTCTCTAAGTACACTCAAAATGTATGTGTTGTCCATCAAGATGATGATGACCACTCTTTTTCATCAAGTATGAGTACGAAGATGACTGATGAGGCCGATGTGGGCCCGAAAAGTTCTTAGACAGTGAGGACAGGGAATGAGCATTGTGCCAGGGAGGAGATCTCCTGCAGTCGCCTTTATGTCCATCCTTTTCCTAATAAGTCTTGCTGTTCTGTTTGCTTCACATGTAGCCGCACCCTTGTGAAGAGTTGCACGCCATGCATTTTGGTCTTGAGAGGCAGCCTCCCAATTGGTGTTATTCATCCCTAATGCTTTGAGTGAAGACTTCAAGGTGTCCTTAAAGCGTTTCTTTTGCCCACCTTGGGAACGTTTCCCATTTTGCAGCTCACCATAGAAGAGATATTTTAGGAGCCTGTGATCTGGCATGCATACCACTCAACATACTACACCTCTCTTAACACTAATCTCTCTATCTCTGAATGACCTGATCTGTCTCTTGCCTACTGAACACTCTACTTCTCTTTCTCTCTCTTCCTCTGAACATTCTATTACTTTTCTCTCCCTCTGGAAACTCTACCCCACAAATCTCTCCTTCTAAATGCTCGTTTCCCTCTAAAAGTCATACTCCCTATTTATACTCAAATCTTCTGCATCTACCTCTGTGTGTTCACCACGCTTTCCAATTCAATAAGCTAATGTCTCTTCCTTCAAATGCTCAATTTCCTCTTGCTGTGAGAGCTCTTCTCCCACCTCAGTGTCAACACTACTTCCTCTCAATGTCAACACTCTACTTCCTCTCAATGTCAACACTCTACTTTCTCTCAGTGTCAACACTCTACTTCCTCTCAGTGCCAACACTCTACTTCCTCTCAGTGTCAACACTCTACTCCCTCACTCAAAAATGCTCTGTTACAACAGCAACTTGACAAAACACATTAGAAAGAACACAAACATCGCACAGAACAGCCTGCAAAAATCTGTAATAACAAACACAAATTACAAGTTTTTATCTTGTAGGCAACACTAACATATAATAGGTTGCAAATTCCTGGCACATTTCACTTTATTTTCTCGGAGGAATGTTAAACAACTGACACCAACTCATAAAGAGGCACAAGAATTAATCTAACAAATCATACATTTCACTGTTACATGAAAGTATCACCATGAAAGTACTGGATTAACCACATGATCTTTTTGTTTACACAATAAACGATTAACCACCTTTAGTCCACTTAAGGCTGATCTCAACCTTAACTACCAATCTGTCATTATCCCTTGGAGGATATCCTTAGGGACCATCCTCCATTCTCCGGGTGACCCATCACTTGAGGCTCTCAACCTTAACTACCTATCTGTCATTTCCCCATGTAGGATATCCTTAGGGACCATCCTCCATTTTCCGGGTGACCCATCACCTGAGCTTTCACAGACTGAGCATTGAGAAAACTGTTGTAATACCTGCTCTTTTCAATACCTTACTGTTTCTAATCCTGTCTTGCCACGTAAAGCAAAGTATTTTTCTTGGGCATCACATGTAAAAGCTGTTTAGCCATTTATCCTGATGCCAAAAAGCTGACCAAGTTTCACTGCCATAAAGAAAAGTGTCAAGAGCACAAGCCCGAAAGAAAAGATGTTACCTAATGAGATAAGGAACCGTTTTCACACCTTCAGGTGTATTGGGTCTACAGTGCTACACACCTATATTTTATAGACCAACTGTCACACAGTGGGTGATGGTTCAACATCATGCTGGCCACCTTTACTTCCCAGGACTTCACCTTTTGCTCATTTAATGGAGCTGAGTGGAGGAATCGAATGCGAGGCCTATGTGAGGGCACATGACGGATGATAATGATTTAAAGCTGGGTCATCCAGGAAAACAAGGCAATTTCTGAGAAAAAAGTCCTGCTTTGTTCAATTTGAACTCCTGACCTTCGGATCCACAAGCGAGCAACTAGCCGCTACACTACAGCAGCTTCATATATAATTAGACAAACACATATTTTACAAATAGACAATAACATATTCTGTAAATAGAAAATCACATATTTTGTAAACAGACAATCACATATTTTATAAATAGACAATCACATACTGTACAGACGGATAATCCCATAGAAAATAACAGACATTCACAGTTTTATTGTAGGTGCACTTCCTGTCAGTGCCATTTTTCTTGAAGTGCCCCTTTCCTGGCTCGCTATGGTGGTTTGTTTATGAGAACAGAAGTGATTCCATTTGCACCTGCACAAATGTTTGGCCGGACAGGAAATGATTACATCAAGTAGAAATAAGATTTAGAGGGTTATGAATGTTAACAACACTGCTTTATTTATAACAATTCTGACATCGTATTTTCCCCACTAGCCATAAGGTTACATGGCAACCATTTCGCAGGTTCAAGTAATTCTCTTGCTATAAATTTTTTTAAGGCCCAAAGAGAAGTAAAGCCAGTTAATTCTTTGCTGCATTTGTTTTTATAAATTACCCCCCTTCATCCAAATTACATTTTTTGGATTTTTGGTCTGTGAATTATTTAGTGTGACTTTTCCTTACATGTGTAAACTGGTTTGTTGTGGATGTTTTTTTGCGTGTGTGCAAATAATTTGAGATGGGGAGGTGAGGACCCCCCACCGAAAGAGATCTTGACAATGTTTTTTCTAGGTCACCAGGCTGAAAAGGTAAATAATGAAACATTTCACACAGGCCACGAATAATTTTATTAATCATCATCATCATCATGTAGCAGGTCCTTTGCAGAACGTCGCTCTCATCACAGTCTGCCTGAAAGAAACTTGGTCTCTCGCCAGTTCTCCCGCCTCTTGCATTTTCACATTCAAGAAGTCACCTATATCCTGTGCCCATCTTCGTGTCGGTTGGCCCCTGCCCCTCCTTCGTGGTACCATGCCTTCTGCTATAATTTTTTCCAATCCGTCGTGGCGCTTGATATGACCAAAATATTTCAGCTTTCGAGAAAGGATGCTGTTTTTTAGCCAATCTTTCTTGATGCACAGATCTTTTAATATGTCAATATTTCTCATGTTATTAATAGATATTTATAAATATAAATGTTCATAAAAAATACACAAAGGAGAGTAACTAATAAACATGATACTTGAATATTTTTCAAAAAAACTTCTCTGAGTTGCACAAATTTCTGAATAACTGAGTTCTTAGTGAATGTTTTTTAAATTATTCATTTTTAGCAAAGGTTAGCATCTATTTCTCCTGACGACTGATATAGTTTTATGAGAAAGTAATCTTCTCCTGATGACTGACATAGTTTTATGAGAAAGTAATCTTCTCCTGATGACCGACATAGTTTTATGAGAAAGTAATCTTCTCCTGATGACCGACATAGTTTTATGAGAAAGTAATCTTCTCCTGATGACCGACATAGTTTTATGAGAAAGTAATCCATCGCAGCACAAGATTTAAAATAGCTTCAGATCCCTGTGTATCAACAGCATCACAGTTAATATCGTACAGGTAAGACAAAGAACCTGACGGGCAAGATTCAGTGTATTCTTCGCCGCCAGGACCTCCAAAAGGTCCAAAGACTCTTCCTTGGTTTGTTTCAAAGCCCAGCCGGTCGATAAGAAAGCCGCTACCAACTGTAACTTTGACGATATATTCACCCCGTTCAAGCTCTACCAAGTGCTGACAGTCACCGGGACAGTTTCCTTTACGATAAACAAGTTCCACATTTGCATATGCAGGATTATAATGCCACAAGGCTAATCCGCCGACCACTGTCTTGTTATCCCATTCCCTCAACCAAATTCCAACCTTTTTGATCTCCAAATCACTATCAGTATACACAGACTCCGGTGGGATAGGCGTCGGCACTATTTGACCTCCTGCAGCATACCGCCTACGTCTTTGGACAAATGAAAACTCTGCATGCTTTCTTAACCGAAACCAGCCATCTGGAATCTCTGATGTCTCAGGACTTCTTGTTCTGGATTTATCAGGTATTCTTTCCTGAATATGTTTTAATGCTACCTCTCTGAGTTGTAGATATTTCTGGATAATTGTGTTCTTTTTTAACATTCTGTAATTATTCAGAAAAGTTGTTACAACATCTGCTGGTACTAGCGGTAATCTGACTGTTCGAATCAGCATTTCAACAACACCTGGATCATTTTCTTGTCTCAGGGACAAGTATTTTAGCACAGCCTTCAAGATTAGCGACTCTCTAGCGGCTGATTTCAAACTGGTTTTATTTGAACACAGAACCAAGTCATTGTCGCTGAAAAATGTTTCTAAAAACTTTGGTTCTAGTTTAGACCAGCCTTCTGTCTCTAGAACTTCAGCAAAGTTTTTCTGCAAAAATTCCCTGGAATGGGAAATCAGCTCTGACAAGTTGAATTCGATCCCAAACAATAAAACATCAATGATGTTTTCCACGTCAAAGTTAGCAATCATAAACTTGATACAAATATGTCTGACGCGGCTCACACTGAGGTAGTCGGCTGCAATGAGAACACTCTGCACATTCTCTTTATTAATGTCCACGGTGCCAGTGTAGGCATACTTGAGAAGAACGAAGAAGTCATCTGGTTCAATGTTGTGAAGAGTGACTTCCCCTGAGTCATCTTCATCAAACTGAAAAACAGAAGAAAAAAAAACTGCAATTGGAAAAATATTTAAATAACACCACATCTGTTGTGATTAGCATCCTGTCAGGATGCACATATGCTGAATCACATGTGATGGTGAACCAGCACTAGGGCTCATACTGATCAATACCTGTCTACTTCTTCTTATTCTTTCATTCGCCTGAAATAGGTTGTCTATATCAACAATTTTGACTCTCATATAAATTTTACTGTCGTTTTTAGTTTGTTCAGTTGTCCATACAGTTTAGGTTCCACTGTTGTTCTTTCTGGCCAAAGGGTGTGCCTTAATGTGTCACATTTGGTGGATTCCTGGAGTGAATGTTTTACTGTTTGCGGCACTTTTCCATAGGTGCACGTGGCTGATATGCCTATCTTGAATCGTGTGTACTATCTACAGTTCTCCAAGGTCATTCTAGAAACATATTCTCAAATAGAGGCCTGCCCAGAGTAGACATGATTAACATTTCCTTCAAAGCTAAAATGCATCTGCCTAAAAGGCAAAAGAAGCAAAAGATTGCACACAAGTAAGGCAGATCTGTAAAACAGATGTGCATGCAAATCTCAAGTCCTCAACTAAGACCAGTGTCAAGAAATGAACAAGTGGCCAGGGCTTTCTGCTGGAGTTTCTAATTGGTGAATGCAAAGAAGAAGAATCCTGTCTACTTGAGTTACTCATTCTTTTTCTTCTGCCCCTGACCCTGTGTTGAGCACAGACCTTCAACCAACACATGCCAAGACACTCTATCTTTTACCATCTCCTGTAGCTTATTGTAAATATTACGAACTGGACTACAGCGAACAACAGTCCATGCTACATAGTTGGTAATCATGTCCAACTTATGATATGTCAGCTAGGATGCAGTGTTACTTCTCTCTGCTTCCAGCTAGGGCCCTGGTAACATATGGGCATCCTCTCCAATTGCTAACAAATAACAAATTTAACTCTTTAAGTACCAACAAATGTTGCTGTATATTTCCATGGGTAGCAATAGCCACAGTCAATATAAAATGTGATCACCTGACTGCCACAAAAGTAGCAACACACATACCCAGTTAGGATATTAAAATAACTAGCCAGGTTTCTGTAGTCTGCTCAAGCTAAAAATCAGATCATATTGTCAGTTGCATGGCACACATAGGCAACAGTCTATCATACATGTGTTGGGTGGGACTAAAAGAGTTCACACATATTTGCTTCAAATGCCTTCATATTAATCAATAGTTAATTGTAATGTTTACCTTTAAAAGTGGTGGAAAGTAGTCTGAGAGTGAAGCTAAAACTAAACGATGAGCTGGAAATGTTCTCTCTCCAATGAGAATTGTCACATCTGTATAGCGGCCAGTTTTCCAGCTCTGAAATGCTGTGTCTAGAAGCCTTCTTGGTCTCTGTCAATATAATATACACAAAATGTTAGCAAGGAAAGGTTTGTAATAATCTGTTTTATTCTTTCACCTCAAAAAGTCTAATTGTCGTCACTTTCAGTGGTGCCGTGTCCTCATAAATGGTTATGTCCGAGTTTACATTGGTGCACACAAAGAAGAAGAAAGAAAGAAAATTTAGGACATGTTCTGAGAAGGAATCGACTCCAGAACTTGGCAACAACAGGCAAGATTTATGGGAAGAGAGCCAGAGGAAGGTATAGAGATACACAAAAACGGTCACCTGATCCATGATTCTGGTGATCGTTTGAGGTGGTGAAACATGACAGTATGGCACATGATGATCTTCTTCTTCTTTGTGTTCTCCAGCTGTACATTCTGGCAGAAAGCTCTGGTCGTTCGTTCACCTATGGCATTTAGCATTTGACAGATCTGACTTTTTTGTACACAGACTGTTAGCTTCTTGCCTCTTAGATGCACTCTGACTTGGAAGGAAGCCTCCAATTAGTCGACTCTTACAACCTGCTTGTCGGGCAGGCAGTGGGTCTATTCTTTTTTTTTTCTTCACAACTGGACCCCAGAACCCGCACGGGGAGCTATGTGATTTCTAACAACATAACATTTTCATCACCATCACAAAAACCACTTCTGCCATTAAGCATTGTGGGAAGGAATAATTTGCGATCCAGTGCATGTTGGCTGGCACTGGCTATTTTCATGCTGTGAAGGCTTAAAGTGTCTTTAATGTTGTTTATACATTTTCTCATTGTCGTTCTCTTGCTCTTGCAGGTGATCTTCTGAGATGTAGTGATTGTGATGGTATTTGATCTAGCTGCATTCTAACAGGATGGCCAAACCATTTGATCTGCTCTAGCTAAAGGTGACATTATGATAAAGAGAACATTTTGTTTTGACCACAACTGTTGTCAGAGAAAACAAATAATACCTTAGCATCAGACAATTTCTCAACCTCCTCCTCCTCCTCTTCTGAAGAGTCTGACTCATGTTCCTTCTTCTCATCTTTGTTCTTATCAGCTGATGTGCTGGCACAAACTTTTGACATGTTTGAACGTTCACCTGAAGAAAAAAAAACAGGTTGCAGGATATTATCATGCGTATGATGTTATACGTATACTTCTGAAGGCCAGTCAGCACACGATAGGTGACATAGCCATGTTGTTTGTCCACTTATGGCCATCATGAACAATGATATGACAAGATAATGATAGGGTTTTTGTTATTTATATTACATTTGTAAGGTTTTCATTTTTAAAAAATACTCATATCTGCAATAACAGTTTAACTACTTCTGCCTTAAAATGCCTTGTTTAACTTCTTCAGACCCAAGTATTTAATTTTTTTTTTTAAACTGAACATCTTAAGGTGGAAAGAGTTACAGTAACAACTGTTTAAGACCGTAGGAGTTAATTAAAATAACACTTTCTAATAATAAAAGAGATGATGAAACACATGCTTATTAGTGAAAGAATCAATAAATAAATGTTCCGCAACTTTCTGTTCATAGAATCAACAGAGTCGCTATAATTAGTACAGTGCTCATCATGTAAAATCCTTCTTGTATTACGTCCTCCTCCTCCTCCTCCTCCCAAAGCCCAATGTTCAAAACATCATAATTCTCTGAATTTACAACTATTAAAACAAACCAGGAGTTAATTCAAGTTACAATTTCTTGGGAAACAGTTGAAGAAACACCTGCTTAGTAGTGAAAGAATAACAAATCAATAAATAAATGTTCCACAAATTTCTACTCATAAAATCATCTTGCTCAAAAAACAATCAGATCGTTCTCCAGTAGATCCCGGCTCACTGTGGCATATCAGGAAATGAGCAGACTTGCACAAAATGAAACAAAAGAGGAATAACACACCTATTCGTTGTCATTATGAATTATCACAAATCAAAACACTTATCAAGGGAAAATACAGGGAATTTTGTGGTGAGAACAAACCAACAGTGACTGTGACAGTGTAAACTTGCCAAGTTCGTTTATCTCCGCTTAAAGACGTATTATTGTTGTATGTTCCCTAAACAATATGCCTCAAACTGGTCAAGTATGGCTATTTATCATGCTACAAACCTCTGTGTCGGTTGCCCATGTAGTTCCCAACGATTTCACAAGCAAGTTGAAGCGGACACTTGTCTCAGAGTCAGCAGACAATTAATGGCTGTGAATCATTTCTGTCGTTCTCTTGGATGCAGAAGTGATCGGGAGTTATCTCTCCAAGGGGCGTGCCTTAGTGCCTTACAGTATGCAGTTGAACTCTTTCCTTGCCTCTGCCCGATTGGCTCGCCGGTTTACGACTTCGAAGCCGGTCGGGACAGTATTTGGGTCTGTTTCCTTTGATTGCATCAACACTGCAGAAGTACTTGGTGTATTTTATCTGTCGCACATAACATACTCACAATTATAACCTAAAGTTCCCCATTCGGGAATGGTGGTTGAACGTGACGATTTTGGGCACTCTTCCGAATACCGGCCCCATATTATTTACTGTCCAAAACATTCCTTTTAGAGCCTCAAGGGGTTCAAGAGGTTACAAAGAGGTCAAGGGATTATAAAGAGGTTATACAAAATATGGAACAACAAATTATGGAACAATACGTACCAATGTCGTGAAATAATTGAGGCCATCATCATCATAATTGCCATCATCATCTTAATTGAAGCCACCACCATCAGTTTTCACTTCTGCGCAATGTTTAAAGTTAAGCGCCGTGGGGAGATATTGTTTTCGATCGACTGAAGTGACGTAGGGAGGAATAATTTTCGATCCATCGGAGCGCTGTGTCTTGAAGCCACCATCATCAGTTTTCACTTCTGCGCATTGTTTAAAGTTAAGCGCCGTGGGGAGATATTGTTTTCGATCGACTGAAGTGACGTGGGGAGGAATAATTTTCGATCCATCGGAGCGCTGTGTCTTGAAGCCATCATCATCAGTTTTCACTTCTGCGCAATGTTTAAAGTTAAGCGCCGTGGGGAGATATTGTTTTCGATCGACTGAAGTGACGTGGGGAGGAATAATTTTCGATCCATCGGAGCGTTGTGTCGATGGGTAGCAACGTTAAGATCATCATCAGTCTTCACTGCTGCCGTTAAGCGCCGTGAAATAATAATTGAAGATATCATCATCAGTTTTCACTTCTGCGCAATGTTTAAAGTTAAGCGCCGTGGGGAGAATTGAATAGTTTTCGATGGACTGAAGTGACGTGGGGAGGAATTATTTTCGATCCATCGGAGCGCTGTGTCGATGGGTAGCACCGTTAAGATCATCATCATCAGTGTAGCAACGTTAAGATCATCATCATCAGTTTTCACTGCTGCCGTTAAGCGCCGTGAAATAATAACTGAGGCGCTGAAACATGTGTGCCCCCCCCCCTCCCCCGCTCCTTTTCTCCCTCCACACAGTGGAATTTTTATAAGAAAGATAAATAAGATACACACAATATATATATATAATACACAAAGCATATTCAATCAGATTATTAAATTACAAGAAGAAGCCAAATCAGGATTTCAGAAGGAAAAAAACTGTCGGCCTGTTTCTCTAAATATCTAATGCATTTGATGTATATTGAAGAGAGCGCTGCGTTATACCTGCAACAATATCATATCTACTTTTATGGATCTAAAAATACCAAGATGTGTAGTAGAAACGACATAGCAGAGAATATATAGTTGGCTACAACTTATCTAAACACATGAGGATGTTCAGTATCAATGAAGTGTGTACCACCTGCTAGTGTGGTCACTGAGAAAATGAAATGACAGACGGAAAAAAGGAAATGCAGAAAAAAAAAAAAATACAATACACTTTCCGTCAAAGAAAAGTGGCAACTCTGACAATAATATTTGACAGTTATATGTCGAAATTGTGGCACAACAGTTGTAAATACTGTCCGAAAACATGTTCTTTGTTACTGTGACGCCACTGAAATTCGGCTAAATATGTATTAAACAATGCACGACTAGTGCCGCCTTGGAAACGCTGTTTCTGTTTCCTTTTGACTTGCATCCACAGCCCTTTAATTGTTTGGGTGTGGATGTCTCCGTGTACACGGTCAACAAAATTAATAGCATGAACAACAACGAGATGTTCATATATGCCATTGTTGAGTTGACCAACGTTGTTGTAGCCTCGCCAGGCATCGGTGACAATTGTCGTTCCTGGTAACACATGCTCACTTATGATGCGTTCCAATGTTGTCGCATCTCGCCTATCAACAACTTCCAACGGAACATTCTAGCCTTGACACTAATGACATCCGACGGTTGCAAGACGAACAGTCTACTGAGTTCCACATTATTCTGTGCATAGCAAGCCATTGCAACCACTGTAGTTTATCGTTCATTATTCTATATAAATCATCAGGTCTGACATCTACAGCTGCCAGTTGATCAACTTGTAGAATATTATTGCTTATCTGTGTCGGAGCCGATGGTCTGCCTGCCATAATTAAAAGTAGCTGCACAAATTATCAAAGAAATATTTCCACTTTATTCGCAACTTTTGCCGATAAGCAATTAATTATCTACGCAAGTGCACAAATTCGCAAAGAGACTGTGACGAGGTGCATTCGGTGAGTCCAGAATTCCTTCTAAAAGCAACAACAACAAAAGTACACAAGTCCAACAGAAACCTTTACAAAGTGAAACAATGAGGTAACTGAACAGCAAACCCAAGCGATCTTCCTAGCAGCGATCAAAGTGTCTGACCAACCAACAACTTATCTCAGTGGAAGTTAACGTTAGCTTAACAGCTGGACCAGGGAACGCATCTACGTTGAAGAATTATGCAATCTTCCAGTCGGACGGACAGAAGACATAACCATCTGAACTTGCGGACAGGCAGGTGGCTAATTACCACGGGTTAGAGTTGAGACGTAGCGGGCATTCTCAGACCAGCCGACAACTTTGACGTCCAGAGTTCAATCAGGATAGCGGGTCCAGTTGTCCAAGCAAGCGAATTTCGCACATTAATGTGATA